AGCTACCAATAAGGCGAGGGGGTCTCCGCCAGTTCAGTAGTGTAGCCCTTAGACTCTGGGGTGATTTATAGTTCACTTTTGCTGATTTTGCTCTCGCTGAGGAAGCGACTAGATATTTAGCAATAGTGTGGCGCGTAGGCTTTGGGAGTGACTTGTAGTCTACTCTTCTTTTGAGTTTTGCCCGTGCCGAAGAGGCGACCGGGTCTTAAGCAGTAATGTGGCCCGTAGGCTTTGGGAGTGACTCGTAGTCTACTCTTCTTTGACTCCGCCCGTGCCGGAGAGGCGACCGGTCCTTAAGCAGTAATGTGGCCCGTAGGCTTTGCCTGTGAGGTGTCGAGCTATGATTGTGCTTCCTCAGCTTTGTAATGCCGGTCACCCACTCCTACAAGAAGCTACTAGGAGCTCGACCTTCGGGGGCAGCACTACTATCTTTAGGTCGCCAGCTCACACGGGAGCTTTGGAAGGCTCGACCAGTAAGGGCGCCTATGTAGTCTGTTGGCCGCCAACTCCCGCGGAAGCCACAAAGAACTCATCCTTGTAGGGGGGGACCTTGCGGAGAGGACTGGTGAGGCATTATCTTAATCGAAAGTAAGGTTGGTAGAGCTACTTAGTCTGTTAGCTCCCTGGATAGTCTTTGAGTTCATAAAAAATGTAAACTATAGAGTGATAGTTTCAATTTCTAAAAAGTGAGGACTTAGCTTTGGTAACATGAGAACTTAGCTTTTGTAGGATGAGAACTTAGCTTTTTGTGGCGTTTTCCCACAGACGGCGCCAATTGATGTAATCGTTTCTGTTCACGTACCATTTTTTGTGATGTATAAATTTTTTTGGCTAAGTACCTCGTTATTTGACCCGGTGGTGACGTGCCTTGGTGATGAGCTACTTGGTGGTGAACTACCTGGTGGCGAGCTCCCTGGTGGAGATCTACTTGGTGACGAACTGCTTGGTGGCAAACTCCCTGGTGGAGAACTGCCCGGTGGCGAGCTACTTGGTGGCAAAACTGCCTGGTGGCAAACTCCCTGGTGGCGAACTGCCTGGTGGACTTGTCATTTGACCTGCTCCTAGGCGGCCTGCAACTCAGAGGATGGTGGAGCTCCCTGGTGCAGCGCAACCCAACTACCCTCTGCATGAGGTGGTTTCCTCTCCTTTGTAGGCGGCGGGTGCTGAGGGACCTGCGAGAACTGAATCAGAGGACCCGGGGGTATTTTTCCGGCGGAGACTCATCAATACTTAAGTTAACATTCTGATTACAGAGAGATTGGAGAGAAATGAGAGAGCTAGAGAGCAGGGGTTACCATCCTTTTTTCCCCCCTCCCTCCCCTTTGGGGGGTGAGGTCTTTATATACCGGAGTCCTCGCGGGTTAGGTGGGTGAAAAGCCTCCAAACGGTAAAACACGTCACATCCCGTCAGAACCGAGGTACGGTGGTGAACTCCTCGAGGTCATCAGGCTGGCGCTTGTGTCAGGCAGCCAGGTCGGCGCCTGGGCCAGGTTGTCAGGGCGAAGCCTGCGTTAGGTGGCCAGGTCGGCGCCTGGGCCAGGTTGTCAAGGCGAAGCCTACGTTAACCGGCGGGTCAGTGTTTGGGCCAGGTTGTCAGGTCGGCCCCTGTGTTAGCCGGCGGGTCGGTGTCTGCGCCAGGTTGTCAGGTCGGCGCCTGTGTCAGTCGGCGGGTCGGTGTTTGGGCCAGGTTGTCAGGCAGGAGATCTTCCTGCGATACTTGGGGACCAACTGCTTAGTGGCGAGCTGCCTATGCAATGCCGAGTTGTCTAAGTTGTTAGGCTGAGGGTGAGTTGCCTATGGCGAGCTGTTTGTGGGGAGCTGCCTGTGGCGAGCTGCCTATGGCGAGCTGCCTGTGGTAAGCTGCTTATGGCGAGTTGCCTATGGCGAGCTGCCTATGGCGAGATGTCTAGTTGTCAAGAGGCTACACTTAATTGGCATGAGGTGCCAGGTGTCACAATTTCACTGGAGGGCCAAATCTGCCCCCATCAATTGCCCCCCACTCCCGAGCTGAGAGTAACTCAGCGAAGGGAATAGATTTCTTTTGGCCCGTAAGTCAACGAGCTAGTAAGTACTGATCTAATTCCTTTGGCTTCGGAAGCTGCCTGTATGTGGCGAGCTGCCAGTAAGGCGAGGGGGTCTCCGCCAGATATTGGATCAGATATTGGTCCATTAACACTTATATTCTTATCTTCTATCAATGGATCAGATATTGGCTCAACCCAACCCAATTCAATATTAATTCATTATAGATGGACTAAGTCCAATCCAATACAATAAATACTTTGGACCATTATCTGAACTGATTCAATTCAATATGTCTTATTAATCCATCTAATTCATCCAAATTGATTTTAATTTGGACGGGTCCAATTCAAAACCGGTCCATTGACACCCATAATGGTCAGCAATCCACAAATGAGATTCAATGCTTCACTATGTTTTCTTTTTTCCTTTTTTTTTGATAAACGATGCTTCACTTGCTTGCTACCATTTACCGTTACTCCAATGGAGTGACTTGTGAATCAAAAAAAAAAAAAAATGAATAAAGAAATAACAGAACAGAAAAGCAGAACAATACCTACTGTGTTACTGACAAGTGTACAGGGCTTATGGTCATTGACGTTGTTGGGTCCTCAAAACTACTACTCTTAGTATCATCTGTTGACCTACCAAGGCTGAATTTTTTTCTTAGTATAACTTAACTTTTCAGATTGAAAATAGCTGTCAAAATTTTGGTTTTCACCATTTCTCACCCTCTGTAATTTGTTTTCGATCAAATGACAAACGAAGAAGGTTCAGATGAAAAATATTTCCCGAGCATTCCACTGTTGAAAGTAATGTAATCATGTAGTATTTGTGTAAATTGATTAATTTAATATTGATTGAAAGATGGCTTTTTATTAATTTTAAATACATTTAATTAATGTTGTTTTATTTTTATTATTACTTTATATAAATCTTTTTATTATATACATATATATATATATACACATACAATATGTGTTTTTACATTACCTAACCCTTTATTTAAATTCCACTATTTTCTATAATTTTAAATTTAACATTTTCATTATTTCTTAATGTAATTAAAAAATATTTGCCTAATTTACTATTATTTTTATTAGCTATTGTTAGATAAATTTGTTTTATCTTTTACTAACTTCGTTAATTAAATCTACAATTAAGACTTTTTATAATTTTATATTTACTGGGAAATACATGTTCATTCTTTATTTTCATCATGGTTAATTTTTATTATTTATCTTATTTATAAAATACAGTAATTTTTATTTTTGATCAACAATGTATATGTGAGATATATGGGAATCACCACATAAGGTACGGATTAAATTGCACCGCACCTTGTAGAAAGTCTCTGTGGTTATAGTGTGGTTCAATCCACTTATTTTTGTGTATAATGTAGAACAACTCTGTGGCATGGTGTGAATTCATCCACGTTATAGAACAACCCCCCAGCTTTAAAGATAGTAATGCAGAACCAAAGCAAATTTTGTATTCTAGTTCATTTTTCCAAGTGTCTGGTAAGTCTTCATTTTTCTATTGAAAATGAAAGCAAATTCATTTTTGTACAGATGTTTTTGCATTCAAAATAAAAGCAAATTAATTCAATCAATATAAAATAGGCCCAGTCTAACCATGAGATTTAAATTTATAACTTCACAACCAAATGAGACATTTTAAAACTAATTTTCTTTCTATTTGCAATCTTAACAAGAGTAGCAGAAAAAATTGCTCTTAAAATTGTGTGATTCTTGGGAATATAATTCGTCAAATGAAACAGTGACACATATGGCGTTCGTTTTTTGGGTAAACAATGGGAGAGTTGGCTTTTATTAACCCATAATATATCATATTACTTTTTGAGCAAATTGTGGGTTCCACAATAAATGATTTTTCTTTGAACATCAGGAAAAATTGTCAACATATGATGAAACAAAATTATCCTAAACGGTCATTTGATTAATTTAACTGGAAAACAAAAGAACATGAATACTCTTACCCAGGTCAATGAGCAAACGAAAGACGAACGGGAGCTAAATGTTAAGGATGAAGATTTTTTTGGTCAAGTAAGAATTCATGGGCATTAAAATTTTGTAATGATTGTACTTATCAACAACCCACATATATGTAAGGCTGCCCTTAAATCCCAGGACCTCACTGTAATTGCACTGATTATCTTCGGCTAATACTGATCATTTCTAAGCCGGCCATGGTTATCCTGCAAAATTTCTAGCTTGGGCCTGGGTCCATCATATATTAAATATAATGTATATAGTCCTAAATTCGGTAGCCCATTAGATCCAATTTAATCCAATGACTGAACTAGATTAATTCCAATTCAAACCTGGTCCATTGACATTTGCATTTTTATCTTCTATCAATCGATTGGATATTGGTTCAATCTAACGTAATCCAATATAAATTACAGATGAACCAAGTCCAATCCAATCCAATAATCTGTCCAATCTAATTTAAAATTTCTTATTGATCCACTAATCTGTCCAAATTGATTTTGATTTGGATGGAATCCAAACCAAAACCCATCCATTGACACCTGTAAATATCTGTATGTTATGCGCCCTATTGCAAGAATAACGCCAGCCCTTTCTAAAAGGAACACCTGAGCCTGGTTTGTTTCGTGTAGGTATCCAAGGCTGCGTTCTGTTAAAAGTCAAATTAGGCACAAATTGTGCACTTGGTTCAGTTTTACATCTGTTATGATTTATATTGTTATTCAATGCAAAATTTATATTTCTTTTGTCTCATTTGCATTTATTGATAGTGCAAATTTTACATCTTAAAAACTGACGCAAATTTTGCATTACTTTTTATCTACATCAATTTGTTCATATATGAAGTGGGAAACACATAAGCTTGCTTCTTACCTCACTCTAAAACAAATGGCCTTCCTATCTCCTTATATTCTTTTTCGTATAAAGTAATTTACTTTTCACAAATAAATAAGACAAAATCAAATATAAAACAAAAACTAAAGTAGAATTTACAGTCAACCTATTTGCACTCCAATGAATTCGTACAGTGTAAATGAAATTTGCACTCCAAAACCAACAAAGCCTTAGGTCATGGTGACACCACACGGTAAAGGGGATGGGACGATGGGTGCCAAATAAAAAATTAAAAAAAAAATTGTTATACATACAAAATTAACATCTGACAAACACACTATCACACTTAATATATATAGAGAGAGAAAGATCTGGCAAACTGTTATAGGCTTCTGGCGACCAAAAGCATGCATTACTTGTCGAAGAAAGTTTCCAAGCTTCAATAGATCAAATGACCGATTCCTCTCCGACCTCTGTCAATGCCAATCAGAAAAACCTTATTTCAATAACTAGTTGCAGAAAAAAAAAACAAGATTTATTAATGGAATAGAAGAATCAATTGTGAAAGGCAAGGGTACAAATCATCATAACTAACTTTCAATCCAATGCTTAAGGATTGAAAGTTTGCGATCGAATGAACATATTTTATTAATTACTAGTATAAAAGCACTTGCTATATACATGTGTAAATAAGGATTGACCATAATATATTGAATTTAATTTTTGACCTGCATGCAAACTAAGACGAGTATCTACTTTATATTAATGGACTTACACATTCAAATGGACTAAAGTAATAGTGATCTATGTTACAAACAAAGGTGTTTAATGATAGTAATCCATATATCTAAGGCCCAAACCATATTTATATGGATTGCTGGTTTGTTCATGGTTTTGATTGGTTACGTAGTCCATTATTGTACATGTCTTTGTTTGCAAGTTGTAACAGATCTAGAGCGAGTGATCAAATTAACAAATCCAGAATGGATTTATATTCTTTCTATCTTCAAATCCTATATTTTAAGTATTTTTCTCACTAATAAATTCTATTATTGTCTTTCAATAATATAAAACACATGTTTTTTAATACAACCCAAATTTTTTTTTGTCTATATAAGCAATTTAATCATTAAGGTCAAATAGTTCAATACATGATGTCATAATTAAATAATAAAATGAAAATTTTGGGTATATTTTTAATATTTTATATTATATATTAAAAAACAAGTGTGATAAACAACAATTATTTTTATACTCAAAAAATATTTTTTTTTCTTATTTAGTAATGGGTCAACAATTGACCCCTTTAAGTCAAATATGTCAACCTTTCATTATAATTAAATATTAAAAATTCTAATATTATATAGTTCATCGTATGAAAAAAAAAATATTATTTTTATAGACATAAAAATATAAACAATTATAATAAAATTTTAAGACACTTTTCTATTAGTATTAATATCATTATCATTGTTATCTAAAACTGCCGTGTGCAACAAGTGGGAAAAGAAACAAGAAACAAGTTGTGTAGCCCCAATCAAAATACAAAGAAAGGAAACAAGTGGAAAAAGAAACAAGAAACAAGTTGTGTAGCCCCAANCCCAATCAAAATACAAAGAAAGGAAACAAGTGGAAAAAGAAACAAGAAACAAGTTGTGTAGCCCCAATCAAAATACAAAGAAAGGAAACAAGTGGGAAAAGAAATTTCAAACTTTACCTTTACCAGGAACAATTATAATAGGAGCTGATTTACAGTTGTGGAAGCAATACTCGCTGACGCTTCCCTGCAGCACACTGAAACAAAATATCCAACAGATAAGAATGCTAACATTTGTTGATAAAAATTCTACTTTTAATGAATACCCTTGATAGAATGAATGGATGGTTCTAATGAGTAATTTCTCTATGTTAAATGGGCCATGAGACCCAACGGAATTAGATTAGTTGATCTTGGTCTTAGGCTCAGAGGTTGGAACTTGGAAAAGTGGGGGGAGCAGGGAAGCTCAAGCCTGAGAAGGAGTTTTTCCCTCTGTTTGTTAAATCTTTACCTTTGGATTAAACTCCTGCCTCGGGTGCCCATAACAACTGCGCCCGGCTTCAACCTCTCGGCTTCCTTACAAATCGCCTTGCCCGGATCTCCTTCCACGATTCTAGCCACCGACCGCACCTGATTTTTACAATCAATTTCCGGTGATTTGCGAGATTACGTTAGGGAGACGAAAACAACAACAGACCCACACCCAAAAAAATGTTCAGACGATCAGTCGATGATGATATCTTCCTGAATCAGGCCATTATCTATTAATTAGATTGAAAGAGGAAAACAATGAAATGCGTACAGTTACAGACCATGGAAACTTGGAACGCCTCCACCGCCAATTTCTCCATAAGGCCCCTGGATGTCTCGTAAACAATTTCGTTCTTCACACCTTTTTTTTTTTTTAATTTAGAAGCACCCAAAAAATAAAACGTTAAAATCAGAGATTGATACTTGATAGAAGAAGATCTGTCAGATTAAAACATCGAAACTTATTAATTACTTAACTGGAGACGACATGAACGAGGTGGAGAGTGTCGGCAAGCCTGCAGAGGTGGACGAGAGCCCAGTCGAAGGCGTGCTTGCTGTTAGGGCCATGATCGACGGCTACCAGTATGTTTCTCCCTCTCCTCCTCTCTCCCGTTTCTCTTTCCAGCTCCGGCTCTCCTACAATAGGTATCAACGACGGCAGCTTAACCTCTCTCCAACTGTACTCCTCTTCATCCTCCATTACCGTTTCCATCGCCATCCCTTACCTCCTCCTCTTGTTACTATCCCAACACAAATATATCGATCCTCAATTGATACCAAAGTGACCAAAAACAAACAGAAGCAAGACAGATTACCAAACTTTTCAAGGGATTTTCTTCAGATAATGTGACAGGAAATGCTCCTTATGGAGGCTTTAATGGATGTAATAAACAAGTTGAAGAGTCAAATTGCGTGTTGGACTTTTCAAGTGAACATATTTGGGTATGGTAGAACTAGAACCTAATCGTACCTATAGGCTACAGGCTAGAGGGAGGAGGAACTGAGTTGAAGAAATAGGCAATGTGATTGTGACCGTCAGATGACTCAGACCAGATAGACGAACGTGGCGGCCGGATTGACGAGCAGACAAGACAGTGGCTCGTGTTCAGGCTTCTAGAAACCAATCCAAATGATAAAGCCATGTGTGGGTGCTTCCGTCTTTGAATACGGGTGGGTCGGTGGCTTGAACGTTTGAACGTCAACCTTCTTGTCGTCACTCAGTGCCTGCCACATATGCATCTCGTGTAGCATTCACCAATCCATCCCAACCGTTAGATCTGCAATAATAATTTGGGTCCCACGTAGATTTCACCATGGCATTCAAAGCTTCGGATTTGGATCTCCAACAAAAAAGGCCAGAGTCTGACCCGGATAGCGGGGACCCATATCGGGCAATGGCTTTATTCAGGCTGAGGTGATCAACAAAATACACGGATACCCACCCTACCTTGCATTCTTTGGCTCATAATTCAAATTGCAGCACTCTTCTCCTGAATGAGAATGATTACAGATACTACTACTATTGCTTTGTTCCATGGTACTAGAGAAAGGTAGGATTCATGAGAATATTTTGGCAGTTTAGGAACAGATTTGATGCATTCAGACTTTGGGATCAAAAACACTCAAACAGGGTTCTGTCGGGAGTTTTTTCTTTTTCTTTTCAGAAGCCCGGTTCTCTTAGCCGATTTTTTTTTTACCAGATATCATCTCAGTTGCATTCAAATGGATAAACCCAACTTTGGTGATAAAATACTGGGGTGTGCACCAGTATTGTGCTGTTGCATTGAGAAAATTGCAATATCACAAGGGTTCTAGCAGAAAACCATTCTCTGTTTTTAATTTCCTTAGGTGTGTTCATCTTGGTTTCTGACGCAACAAACACACTGTGCATTGGATGGAGGTTCGCATGTTTCCTGGGATTTCTTTTCCTTGGTTGGTGGAAATTTGGTGTCCACCTCTTCTCAACATTTTCATGACATCAGTTTTTCTCAATGCCCTGGAGTATTGTTGCTACTTGTAGCAGTAGAAATTAGAAAAGGGGATCAACCAATGGTTTGCAATCTATGCCCTTGAGCTTGGTGCCTTGACTTGGTGCGTAGCGTCGTTCCAAGTCGTTGGAGATTTGAAATGCCGGATGCCTGTTGGCTGTCTCCAAGTATATAAATATATAGTAGTCTGACCTTAAAACCTTATAGACAGGATATTGATACATGAAATCATCTTTTCAAACAAGGTTCCCAACTTCCCATTCAAATGAATTGTCTCTTGACAAGGATAGTTCAGCTTTGATGGGGATATTCATATTATAACAAATTTCTAAAAGTAATCTCCTTTGATGAAATCGGCGAGGTGCTTCATCTCCGCATTTTGCTGCTCCACCACTTGTCCAACAACATCTACAATGGAAATCATACCCACTACCTTCCCATCTATCACAGGCACATGCCTTATCCGATTCTCTGCAGCCACCAACAACTACTATTAGTTATGCCACAATACACTCCTGATTAAACTCTTGCTCTTTCACTACTTACCTGTCATGATCTGCATCGCTTTGAGAATGTTTGTTCCAGAGCTCACTGTAATCAATTTACTCTGAGGCAGGTTCAATTCAGAGGGTGAAGGTCAGTTTGCAAAATAAAGAAAAAAAAGCAGTTAATCATTATTGTTCCAACTTCCAAGTAGATTGAGATTTGTGAGGGAAGGGAAATAACCCCATTACCTCATCAGTCATGATTTCCCCAACTCTTGTTAATTTGGAGGATCTTCCCTGTGCGATTATCTTCCTTAGATAATCTGGTTTAGCATACATTCAATTCAACCATCACCAAATAAAATAGTCTTATTGTCAGTTTTCTGTTGACAATGAAAGACGATTAAGCCAGAGCAATTTACCTCTTTCCGTAATAATCCCAGATAGGATTTGTTGTTCCCCTGGCTTCAAAACAACCAAGGATCCAACATTGTTTTCTGCCATCTGCGATGTTTACCGAAGAAATTACAACTACCATCAAACTTAATAAATCATGCACGTTTAATCCTTGCAAATCTGAGAGAAGCCCTACTTGTAATACGGCATCATAAACAGTATCATTTGTGCGACACCAGTGGAGAGAGTCCTTTCGTTCTCCTTTTGTCATGAGAACATCCGCCACGGTTGTATTGTCGAGCCCTTTATGATGTATAGTGGGAGAAATGGCACATAACTCCAATCGGGAAAGAGGGCTTGTTCTAATTGATGCATCCGGCACATGGGATTTCAGAGCCCGAGCAACCCATTGCAATATTGACCCTCTGAAATGAACATGCAAGAGTTAAACATCAATTTCCCTCACAATCGATGCCGATAGGGGTTATGATGTAGAAAACTCTTCCAATTAGGTTCTAATTCTTTGATTTAAATGTTTGTTTGTAGCTGTCAAATCAGTTTCCTTCATCTTCTTCTCCTCAGTCTACCCAGAGAATTTCTCTTTCTCAAGACTGGATGACTGGGATTTTACATTTCTTCTGCTACAGTTCTTCCTATCGCATTTCAACTAACCAAATCATATGATTGATTTTATTCATTGAGTTAGGCCAAATCTTAGGTAATGGACTTGAAAGTTGAAACCTGTTCCATTTTGCTGCCAAAGTTTTAAGTAGTATCACATCATCCTAGGTTTTATCTGACGATGTCATACTACTTCCAGTTTAATATTTTCGTGTTTTAATTCTAATCTAATTCTTGGGATTTTGAAGATGGATAAATCATGACTGCAAGCGATATAATCATGCTGACTTTTGGTTTTGGGTAGGACCTCTTTTACTTGGGAGTTGGGACCCATCTTAATATCTGGCCTTCATTTTATGTATATTCCAATATCAGAACCGGACAACTACTTTTAATCAAAATCCGGTTGAATTATCAAGGAGGTAGTTAGGGTTTTTGAATATTAAAGGAATGTCCTTCCTTCCCCAATTCCCTTTGGTTATGTTTGGTTTAAAGGAAAAAGTAAGGAAAGGAAAGAAAACCTTTACAAACCTTGTATGGGTTTCTCTGCCTTTCCTTTTCTTTCCTTACTTTTTCTTCAAACCAAACAAGGTAAAGAAAGTAATGTTTTGGAATATTACAAGGTTAAGAAAGGAATGTCCTTCCTTCCCAAATTCCCTTTGTTTATGTTTGGTTGAAAGGAAAAAGTTCAACCCAAACACAGCCTTTACTTTCGATCTGATTTATGCCACTAACCTAATGTTGTTCCACAATCTCACAGGAGGAGGTTTGCAAGATAAATACCCAGTAAGCAATAAGCTAACTTAAACTGGTTGTTTGCCTTTCTTTCACTGTGAGTCTGTGACATGGTTTCAGAAAAATGCCATCCAAAGACCTAATAAGAGAATTCATAGGTTGTTTCACTTGTTAGTATTGGTTTGCAACCACCTCTGGTCTAAGTTAAAAAGCCAGAACAGCTTCCTCGAGGTTGCAACCACCTTGTCCTAAGCACCACGATTGCTCGTTTAAATGTTTTAGTACAAAATATAAAACTTTTTAACCAACCCCAACCCCCGGCGCTTTGGCAGACGCAACAAGAACTTGTTTTACTATCCGTGGTCTAAGTCACTACTTTCTGTTACCAGAGTTCCACACAGACCTCACAGTACATCGATCCCACCATATATACTGTGAGGTTGGGTGTGCAGAGAAGACGGACAGACTCGTGTTAAACAACAACTTTATACGAATTCTTATCTAATACTCGTATCGGTGTTCATGGATAAACTGCCTATCGCTTTAGTTCAATTGTTTCATAATTCAACTCTCTGAAAAACCCAAGATTCAACTTCAACAATACAAGTCGCATAAAGAATACCATAACAATACAAGTATCAAATGCAGGTGATTTTATTGTAAAAACCACCCTATATGTATTTGACAGCGAAAAACGAAGGACCAGTCGCAACCGATAGAATTGAGAGATGGACAAGATTGGCAAATGAACAAGAAGTAGAAATAGAAGCAGAAGACCGATGAACGTACCTTGAGAGCATTAGGGTAGGAAGAATAAAGGGAGGTAGGGAAACTTTCCAAAGAATGGACGGGGAGGTTGATGAAGACTCGTACAGGCACTGTGAAGGAGAATTTCTTGATTGCATGTTTTAAATGTTGTATACTGTAAGGAGATTGGTTCTTTTCTTGAATGATAAGGAAAAGAATTAGCTTTGTTTGGATTCTTAACTTCATCTCGTCTCTGAGCAGTTCAAGACTCCAGATAGGAGACCGACCCCCAAATACTAACTTGCAAAGCAATCACTAATGCTTCTTAACTCCCTTCCCATAAATCGATTCACATAAACCCTTTTCTCACATGGCAAACAGAAAAGAATACAGGCTAGGCCACCCCTCCCAATCCAACCTCTTTTACCTATCCCTGTGTGCTATAAGATTGCCTCTGTGTGCTATAAGATTCTTACCTATCCCTGTGTGCACAAGTATGGAACATTGCCTCTGTGCTATAAGATTCTTACCTATCCCTCAAGCTATATCTATAGTATAAATAATAAATAAAAAGAACTTTTACATCCGCAGCAATATTGTTCAAAACAAATAGATCAGAGGAAAAGCAGGTTATTATTTCGTTTCTAATCAAACAAAGGAGGAATAAATTCCCCAAAGGAATCTTATATGAAAACGTCCATAGAATCGGCAACCTCCTAATTTCAGGATTCTAGAAACAGATATCTGAATCAATCGTAAGAAAAGTTACAAATATCTGAAACTGGAAAAAGTTAAAAGAGAAAAAAAAAAGAATTAAAAAGGTGCTCAGAATCTTATTAAGAATGGAAGAAGTATAGAGTCCTCATTGGAACTTCAGATTAACGAGATATAAACCATCATTGCACCTTATCTTCAATCGCTTTCCTCCCTCTGCATGTAAAATCTATCTACTACACAGAGAGTTAAAACGATGAAGCAACAATAGAAAAAAGAAAAGAGACCGATCGGAATGCGTTTACAGAGATTGGAAAAGTAGACAGAGGCAGAGAAACTCAAAGAATCAAGAATCCGTCAAAGAAATTTAGAGGTATCCAGAGATGAAATAACAAAAGAAAAGGAAGAAACTAGAAAAGAAAAATGTGAGGCGCAAGGACAAGGCGCTGGATTGCATTCCTCCCCCCCGGCTTCAGTGATGCGTTTTATAAGGGGTTGTGTGATTAGGGTTTCTCTCTGATGCTTTTTATATACGGGAGCGGGAGGGTACCGTATAACTGTATAGAAGTATCGCGTTTGCGCCACCATACAAGAATTGCATACGCTGAATGCAATGGCTGTTCAGCGGGTTGTGTAAATTATGATAAACTTGTGAATGACCCGTATTAAGTACGGTAATCAATAATATTAAATTTATATTATGAAATCAATATTGTTAAATTTATATTTATTAATATTTTAAATAATTATTAAAATTTTAAAAAATATTTATTTCAAAAAATAGATTTTTAGTAATTATTAAAATATGGATAGTTTTTTTTTTTGTGATATGATACTTAGAGGTTTAATGATTAATTGAGATTGATTGAGTGTAGGCAAAAGTGGTTGTGAGGATAACTATTTTTTTCATTTTCTATATTTTTTAGAAATTGATTGAAAATGGTAATAGTGAATTGTGGGTTTTAGAAACAACTTCTCAGAAAAATGTCATGTGTCTCAATGGTGGGGATCTATAGCCTGGTAGTGGGTTGTGGGTTTTAACCGGAATTTCTCATAAATTACCATGTATATAGCTTTTTAGAAAATGAAAAGGTCATTTGTCTGAATGATGGTAGTAAGCTATGGGTCTAAATAGTGATAATGGGATATGAGCTTTAACGGCAACTTCTCAAAAAAAAGTTCACTTTATTACCCTTAAATTTTGGACAAATATTATTTGAACTTTAAAAAAACTGTGAATTGGATCCCTACTATTAGTATCCCAATAGGTTCATCGGTCACGTGACATGTGATGACTTAAAATTTTGAATATGTCTGAAATACCCTTTAAGCATAATTTAGGACTATTTTACCCATTTCAAATCGGTTTAATATTTCTCCCAAATATACGACTAGTTGAAATTGAATGGTGAAGATTGGGTGCCGCCACCTTTGTCGTAGCAGAAGCTGTGAACTTCCAATGGCCCCAATGAAGAATATCACCTCACCTTCGCTACGTATCATGGCATGGTGGTGCCGCCCAAATTTATCCCGATAAATGATGACAATCGCTGCATGGTGTGCCTGCGGGAAAACTAGAGAGAGATAGAGCCTGCGGGAAAACCAAATTAAGAGAGGAAAACCAGAGAGAGTGTATGCGCCTGCGAGAAAACCAGAGAGAGATTGAGAGATCACAAATAACAAAGCCACGATTAGCATGGAGAACGACCCTAATGTTGGACGAAGTAGAATGAGTGAGATAAAGGAGGTGGAAGTGTTATGCGTATGTAATCAATCAGTAACAAAGCCACCATTTCCCAGGTAAAAGCTTATTGTTATTGTTAATTTACCCCACCTACACTTCCTCTTGTTTCTTTAATTCTTTCCACTATGCTTTTTCACTTATTATTTATTCATCTATGGATCATCATATTCAACTCTGCCTTTTCACTTCCCAGGTTATATGCCCAATGCTCTAAAAAAAGCTCTTTTTTTTCCTGCAACGCCCTTGTTTTGTTTTATCTGTTCAACCACAACTTTGAACAATTTGGATTAGTTTTTTGTCTGGTGGGTAGAGTTGTGGATTTCATGGGCTTTTGGCTCCACTAAGAGAATACATATGGTTGTGCAAATTTGAGAGTGGTTTAAGAGATTCTTCTTCTTTTTTCTTCTCTCATCTTTGTCTACTCTTGTGCTGCAGGGCCTAGGTTTTCAGGCGTTCATTTGGGAACTCATATCATTAAATCTTATCTGGGTTTAGTCACGAACTTCACCACCATGTTCTAATTGTCAATGTCGTGATAGAGCTTTAAGGCTTCTATTTGTTCTCCAATTGGCATATCCTATTCGGCAGCAAATCTAACCAATAACTGATGCCATGGAGGAATGTTGTTTCTATAAGATGTTTATAACAGAATAATTGTTACCGATGTGAATATGTCCATCCATAGATCGTTAGAAATCCAAGGTGCTAGAAATAGAGTGAGAAATAAGATTTGGGCTATATCATTCGATTCAGCTCCACCTTGAATGGTTCACCCTGAACATAATGGATGGATTTTCTTTGAGTTTCTTTGGTAGTTCTACTTTGAAGACTGCTTGTTGGATGAGATGAACGACTATGTTATGTACACTCTAACAATTCAGACCAATTAGATCTCTGTCATGCACTTCGTTGAAAGAGGATGAGACTTGCACAAGGTAAGAGCAACGACATAACACACCAGGATTTTATGTGAAGGATAAGAGCAACCCTTCCCCGAAGAGGTTTCTCTCCGGCAACGACTGAATACATCGAAATTTCTCTCCGGTAACTAGGGGTGTCAAATGGACTGGATTTGGTTCAATCCGGTCCAGTCCAATGTGAGTCCATTACGAAAGGACCTGGTCCAATCCAGTCCAATGAATATTTTGGACCGGTCCAAAGACTATCCAATCTGTTCAAATTCATGTTAATTTAGATTGGTTTCAACTCAAACCTGGTCCATCAACACCCATGTTCTTATCTTCTATCAATGGACCAGATATTGGCTCAATCCAATATAAATTCATTATGGACGGATCAGATCCAATCCAATATTTTATATTGGTCCATCCAGTCCGTCCAAATTCAATACGTTTTATTGGTCCGTCCAATCTATCCAAACGAATTTTGATTTGAATGGAGTCCAATCCAAAACTGGTCCGTTGACACCCCTACCGGTGACGATGTCCAAGATGAACTTGTTGGCGGAGAACGCTGCAACTTCTAACAGGACCTCTGGTGTTTGTTGTTAACAGAAGTTCTCAGTCTAAATCAATAAGGGTTTAAAAGGGGGTAATTTCGACATTTAAAAAATCATTTTCTCTCTTTTATTAACCATTTGGGACCAAGTTGATAGTTTTCGAAAGTTTGGATACTGTAGTGACATATTTAAAGTTCGGATACTAACTTGACACTACCCCCAAAGTTTAGGGTACTAAAGTAAAATTTTCTCTAAAATATATAAGAGGGGGCCATGAATTTATTATTGGCTTGGAAAGCTAGGTTTACACTGAACTGAACTGAACCGGCCAAGCTTATTATGGTTGGAGACCGGTTCTTGCCATTTTGACTTGGAATCGATTATATGAGTTTCTTTTTTCTTTTGATAATAAAGGAAAAGTCATGCTATACTATTACATGGTTAAATGATATACAAAGTTCTCTCAGTTATATTGTAATTTTTGTTATATTTTATGTCAAACGAGTAAGTTTCATAGATAATATATGCCATAATTTTGGTTAAAGCACTTGTTTTATCACATATGAACGATTTAATATTTTACTGTTTATAATTGCTGAAATCTCCCCTGAATTTTGATAATTGCAGTCACCTCCCCCAAACTTTTTGATGTAGTTGCAAGTAGACCCCATCTGTTAGAATCTTCTAAAAAAGGTACAAAAATATACAAAATACCCATATAATTGCAACTTCACCTTTGATTGATATGAAGGGAAATTTTGGAAAATTAAATCAATTTCAGAAAAACGAGATTAGAAGGGTTTTGATTAGCGAGTCAATTGGGTGGTTTAATTGGGTGAGACATGATTGTCCCGATTAATTATCAGAATGGTTTTAGGTGTAATACATGGAACTGATTAAAAATAGTTCGAGACTGAAAACACCTTGTCCCCAACTAGATCTAATGTAGTGCAATCCGGCTGCTCCCAGTTGGAGGTGATCTGGCTTCCAGTAGACGAAAGACTCAGTTGAACTGCAAAAAGCGAATTAGAGAACCCGGGGTTGTTTACCCGGCGAGGTCGTTCTGATGCTAAAGTTAGTACTAGGTTGCGAGCTGATAATAACTTATAATGCAAGAGAGCTAGAGAGTAGAGATTGCACATACCTTTCACCCTCGGGGGGTGGAGCCTTTATATAGTGGACCCTTCGCGGGTTTCGCAGAGCAGTTTCGAGATCCTCGTTACGATGAGGTCCGTTTCCGCGTTAATTGGGGATAGCGTTGCCAACTGGTGAGATTCATCACTTCCGCCCAAATCGGATAGGGGAGATAATGCTAGCTGTTACGAGGCGTGATCCTATAAAGTGTGGAATCTGGTGGCAAGATCTTCGGGGTTGCCATGCTGTGGCCGGTCAGTATTACCCGAGCTAGTGTCCTTTGGATCTGACCTGGTACGAATGCCGAAGTGCCTTGGGACCGAGGTGGTCCTGATGCGATCGTGCATCGAGGTGAACTTGTCTCGAGGTGGACTTGCCCCGAAGTGGTTTGGTTATCCGAGCTCGATTCGTTGCAGACTTGTTGTATCGGACTGAACTGTCATCCTGCTAGTTAGGTCATTTCCACGTGTCCCCCTATTACTAGGTCGGGCCAAATCACCCTACATCAAGATCCAACTTAGAAATCCAAATATTCTACTCACTGAGTGCGCTCTTTGGATTCCTTGTCTAGGAAAAAACTCTTTTATCCAATTGATTTTTTTATCATTTACTAGGTCACACCTTATAGTCTCACAAATTTATTTAAACCTACACTATAATTTCCATTTTATTAAACGCCCCTTAATTTGCAATCTCTTTACTTAATCAATCATTTACCAAGAATTATTTGTTTTGTCATCTAAAAATAGCAGCATGATCACCTAAACTGAGTAGAAAATGTTTAAATGCATGGGCCCATGGTTGTTTAATCCAAAAGTACCCCTAACACTTTTCATATAGAAAATAAAATTGGTCAAATATAGTAGTTCTTTGTGTCTTTTTATTAAATTGATTGTAAACTATAAGTGTGTTTTAGTAAAATGTAAACTATAGAATAGGAATTATAGGAGATGTTTTAGTAAATATTATTAAAATGGTGCAAGAAGGAAACTCACATTACTTCAAGAGGGGTATATCAATACAACCTTTGTTTATCAACATGCCAAGGGTGTATCAGCAATTCGAATCATGGGCATTTTATGTTTCTTTTAGTTATTTTCAAGATATTTTATATTATTTAATAAAAATAAAGGGTTTCCTGAAAAACATCTTTAAATAGGTGTATCAAAAGTCAAAACCCACATGATATGAAACGATATGTCTAATATGGGACATATTGTATCAATACTTTGGACCTTGCATTAGGAATGGCAATGGGGCGGGTTCGGGGCGGGGATCATATTCCTCGTCCCTACCCTCAATTCTGGAATTAACGACCATCCCCGTCCTTGATCCCCGCTGGGATAAAATTTGTCCTCCATCCCCGATCCCAAACGAGGATGGGTTCACCATAGGGACCTGAATCCTCCAATTTTTTTAGGTAATAGTATTTTTTAAAAGAAATTTACTTAAAATAAATAAAAATATTAAAAAACACCAGAAAGTAGGGGTCGCTAAGGTCCAAATGAACACCAGAAAGCCAAAGAACAAAGGGAAATTATCTAAAACTCACCATGAGTTTTCAACATTTCCCTTAAACTCATCACAAATGTCAGTAAGTTTTTATTTTCCAAAACTCACCCTCCATTAGTGCACCGTTAATGCTTCTTAATAGAGGTGCTCATGTCAGCATAAATAACAACTTTCATGACCAAATTACCCTTGAATGGTGATTTAGAGGAAAAATGGTCTGTTTTAGTTTTCAATTTTCTTGTTTTTTTTTGCATTTTTAGTGTTTTGTTATAATTTCCAATGTTTTTTTATAATTTCTGTTTTTCTATGTTTTTCTATTTTCTACAATCTATATTTTTTTTTTGTATTTTTTTGTTATGTATTTGCAATTTTTGTGTTTTTCTATAACTTTTGGTGTTTTTTTCTACAATTTTTATTTTCTTATTTTGTTTTTCAATTTCTATAATTTTTTATATTTTTTTGTAATTCCTATGTTTTTATGTGTTTTATATTTGAAAATATTTTTTTTGAATTTTTTCCTTTTTTTCATGTCTAAATATTAAAATGGTAATTATATTAACACCCATTAATTTATTATATATATATATATTATAATTTTTTATGAAGATTAAAATGGTAATATATTAACACCTGTTAGTCTGTTTAACGTCAAATTAATGATGTTGTGAGTTTTAGACATTTTGAAAAGTTGTGGTGAGTTAAAGAGAAATGTTGAAAACTCATGGTAAATTTTAAACAATTTCCAAAAAAATAAAGCATACCTGTGATTCATATGGAAGTTATCCAACAACTTAAAGCCCAAACGGTTTAAATGACTGAGAGTGCCTAAAGGGTTTATACGACTGAAAATAAAGTGGACAGTAATGAGCTTTCAAGAACACAATAAAGTTCGCTTGAAAACATACCTGAAAGTTGTTTATCTGACTGAGACGTTTCTGATCGGTTCCCTCCCCTGCTTCCTCCAAAACGACTGAGAAAATTGAAATGAGTGAATAGAGAAAATGACGGAGAAAAAATTGCTGATGAGAGAAAACTGAAGAGTGAATATATTAGTTTGAAGAAGGGTGGGAAAACAGAGGCATGTTGGCTAGGGCTGCAAGTCGGGCCGGGCTAGGTAGGGTTGAGGCCAACCCTAGCCAAACCCTAAGTTCTAAACCCCCAACCCTAACCCAACCTTCAACCCTACCCAACCCTAACCCTAACTAAATTCCTTCAACCCAACCTTCTTCCCATCCCTTAAAACCTCCTAGAATTTATCGATTTTAGATCTTAACTCAACTTTCAGTACTACTACATATATTAATTCTATGCTTCATTAGTATTCCTTTGTTGATGTTTTGTTTTTTTTTATTCTTTTGGTACAAAATTCAGAAAAACAAGTGCTAAAAATGATTATAGTTGATCATGAGTTATGACTCAAGATAGATCTTTTATAGGCGGCAAACAACAAGAGGAATTGGTGGGGGTTATACAAATATCATGCATCTAAACAAATCAATGTATGTTATATATTACATATAACATATATTTATAAATGACATGTATTATAGAATTGAGTTTGAGTTGGGTCGGATTGTCTAAGGAATCAACTTTAATTCAACCCGAAGTAAAATGGAGTTCATGAATTTCAATCCTAATCCGAGCATCAACCGAACTCAATCCAAACTTTTTGGGTTTTATATAGATAGATAGATAGATAGATAGATTATGGCAATAGTTTTAACAAATACAAATTAGAGCAATAAATCATTAGAGGGTGGTTGATATTGAAATGAAAGGTAATCATTGAGTTCAAAATTCAAATGTTAGAATCATACAGCACATGGCGGACTGACCATGCAAATTAAAGCAGACGAATGATCCACATAAATTGAATGATTAATTTTTGGTACATCAATACATCATACAGGTAGGTATAATAAAATATTATAATAACTATTCATTATGATAATAAATAGTAATTAAAATTAATAATTACTATTTTATTTTGCCCAATGAGTTTTATTCCCATTATGATGTTATGAGTACTCCATGCAAAAACCTCATATAAGTAATTTGACTTTTGACCCAAAAATTGGTGATTTAAATTGATATCTACATATCACGCCATGGGTGATTTAAATTGATATGGCACACCACCGCTGAACTAATTTGATATTAACACACCATGAGTGGTTTAATTTAATATGGTCACATTATATTTTGTGCATGATGGAAAGACAAATTTGATTCATTGATATTTGAAATCGAATAGGATCTTATAGATTCATTGATCTTATCTATTGGATATATAATTTTAGATTACGAGAATAAAATATTGAATTGTATAAAGAAGTTAAATTTAAAATGATTAAAATATTATATATTATTAATAAAATGAATAAAAGATAACTTTTATGTTATATTTCATGAACAAAATGAATTAAAAACTATTTGTATAAAAATTAAATACAACATTGAAAGCAACTTTACTAATATATAAAATTTAAACCTTTAGTATGAACGTATAATAATTAATATAAATTTAGTTTTTATCCATATCTAAAAAATTAATAAAATCTTTCTAACCGAACAATGTTAGGTTCGAACTCAAACTAGTTTGACCTAATTGGGAATGTTTATTGTACAATAAATAACAAAGTGAGATTTTCTTGGGGTTTCTTTCCCTCCAATTTTGCTTGATAAAGCTCATGCGTCACACAAATCCTAATCATTATATTTGAAACAAACAATATAATGCAGTACATGGAAGAAATATGTAATGCAAATTGACGTTATATGATCCGAAGGGTGCTGAATTGAATATACAGCAGATAAATACTGCCAACTGAGCGAGGCTGAAGTGGAAATATGAAGTCGTGCACCAAGGAAATATGTAAATAAATAAGGATCAGAGGCTGAGAATGAAGTCCTCGGGAAGGTACTCCAACACTAGCCGAGTTGAGCTGTAGAGAGCAAGCTGCTTTGAACCGAAGAGAGCAGTGAGTGAGCAAGAGAACTATAGCATTTGGAGAGTTGAAGATTCAAATACATTGTCTTTCGAATCAAATACAGCCTAAAACCTTAAGGCCCTGTTCACATTTCGGTAAGTTATTTATCTGGGTAAATGCACTTTCCCAAGTAATTATTTTCCCAGAAAGATTTACCCGGGTAAGTTTATTTATCCATTTTCTTTTATTTTCCATATAAATAAGGCAATGACCATTTTATCCATAAAAATTCATTATTACAAGGGGCATTTTTGTCCCTTTCAAGTGTTGGCAACTTTCCTCCAAGGTGGGAAAGTTATTTACCCACCTAGGAGATGGGTATACTCAGGAAAATAAAATTTCCCTGGTATCCACATAAATCAGAAAAAAAAAAAAAAAAAAAAACATTAGATTTTTTGTCAATGGGAATCAAAATCCCAACGACCAACTTTCCCCCTCTCAAAATCCAGAGAAAAATGGCCCCAGAGATACGAGTCCAGGGCGAGAAGAAACCATCAAGAATCCAAGTTCACCCAAAAACACGAGGATCAACACTAGGCATTGAATGACGCATAGGTTGGCTTTGGTAAAAAGATACAGAAAGATGCCAAATTGAACCCTTCAAATAAATCCAAGTATCGAATCCAAACCTATATATATGTTACCTGAACCTCCCATCTTTCTCAGACCATCTTCCTCTACATTCTATAGCATTGCCAACAACCAAGCCACCACCGTCTCCCACGGCTATCTAAAAAATCATGGCAGAACAGCCCATCAGGCAGCCATTCCGCTTTCTGTTTTGGTCACTAGGCTCAGCATCGGCTCCTTTTCGTGCTCCAGTTGGGACCCAACCCCAACCAAGGTCCACCACTGTAGCTCCAAATCAACAACCAGCAGCAGTCCAACCACCAGCCCCAGCTCCTTTACCCCCACCAAAGACAGAGTCACAACCCCCATCACAAGTAGGCTCCCAGTCACTATCACCATCTCACACCTCCCCTCCATCACAAATAGGTCCTCAAGCCCCATCACCATCTCCCACAGCCCCTACGTTACGAATAGGCTCTCGGTCCCCATCACCACCTCAATCACAGGTAATAACTTTGACTCCTTCTCAACCCCCATCACCATCTAGAACAGCCCCTACATCACGAATAGGCTCTCAGCCCCCATCACCACCTCAATCACAAGTTGTAACTTTGACTCCTCAACCCCCATCACCATATCCCACAGTCCCTACATCACGAATAGGCTCTCAGCCCCCATCACCACCTCTTGCAGCCCCTCCACTAGGAGTCATTTCTCATCCCCCATCACCACCTCAACCACAAGTAGTAACTTCGAGTCTTCAACCCCCATCACCATCTCTTACAGCCTCTCAACCTAGTTCAAAGTCTCAACCCCTAACCACAACATCCACACATACCCCAGATTCTCAGCACCCATCACCTCCAACAAGACAACACCTAATTCAATCAATAGATCAAACAGGTTCTCAGGCCCCATTCCCAACAAGGCAAGCCCTTCCGTTAACAGCAAGATCTCAGTCCCCACCTACCTCTCAGCCTGATGAGACATCTCAAACCCAGGCAGTATTATTCCCGCACCTGCAGCATTATTCTCAGTCACCTCAGGTGAAAAGCTCGCCTAAGCCAGTCTATCTTTCCCCAACCCAAAACCTATCGCAACCAAGCTCTCAACTGGAAGAGGAAACAAATCAACCTACAAAAAGTATGCCTATATTGCCAATAATATCAGAGCCTTCTGCAATTATTAATGACCTTATTCCTCCTTCAGAATCAGAAGAAAGGAAAGACGAGAAGAAATCAATACAAGAACTTAGGACAGAAGATAAGTCCATTGCCCCAGTTGATGAGGAGCCAAAGCAACAGACAACCGTTGAACTTCATAGCATGGCATCAAGATCAATCACAGCGAGCAAAGGGCCCTCAAGAATAGCACCTCAAGCAGAAAAAAAGCAGCTGGAGAAGCAAGCAGTTCCAGACAAAAAGAAGATAGCAATGGCAGGCTTTAAAGGAAGAGAGAAAAAAGCAGTTGCAATGAAAACAAAGGAGAGGAGCTTGGACAATGAACTGCACCTAAAGCCTACAACATCAAAAAGTGAACGAACTCCCCTACACAAAGAAATCAAGGAAGATGTTTCAAGGTTCGTCCACAAGCTGACAATGGGATATCCAAAGCAGTCCATAGATGAGCATCCGGCATCCATCATAACTCTGGCTGGTGTAAATAGAGGAGCAGCAATGCATATGGGTACTGAATTGGAAAATACAGATGAGGCAGTCCCCATTCAAAAGGGTTATAAGCTCAACCAAGATGACCAAGGAGAAGGAACTGACGATGGAGAGGACACTCCTGATGCAAGTTCAGATGATCCGGAGATGGGAGAAGATGCATTATCTACAACATTCGTTAACAGCAATGCACAAAGTATCAACAATTCCCTTCTTTTTGACAGTTCCTTTTACGAAAGCAATCCGGGAGTTCGCATAGTTCATCATCATAATAAGCCAATGGACACCGTCAACTTGAATACAGAAACAAAATCTTATGAGGCACATAAGACCAGTTTTAACATAACCTCTGGTTCAGAAGCTCACTTGTGAGCCCGTGTTTAGGAGGTGCTTCAGAGGACTCTTGGGAATCCAGCGATTCTGATCCAAGCAACCTAAGCGTCATGGCTATCTTCATAGCTGTGAAGAGAAGGGGCATAGAAAATGGAAAATAAGGTTCTTCAACCAAGAAAGAATGATCAAGTCTACAGCTTTTAACCTGTCTGGCTATATCTACATATAAAGTTTATAACAAAAAAGGAGGTTCTATCTTCCCACTCCTAGATGTTTATCAGTCTTCAGATGATGAATTATGTTATGGGACAGAAGTCCATTTATATATGCAAACTGTAATTACAATTGAATAATTAAAATCCAATTATCAAAGTCTCAATGGTACAATCGACAAGTAGACCTTTTTTATGGTCAACCGACAAGCAACTTTTTTTTGTCGCAAAAGAGAAAGCAGCCATTCATTATTTAGCTAAAGATAAACTGTACAAGTGGATATAAGACTGAGTTATATAGTATCCTAAGCTGATCTTTGCGTGCTAGATATGCTAGTGTATGAGCAGCTCGATTATAGTTTCTGCTTATATAGTATCCTAAACCGACAAGCAACCTTGGTGCAAGTAAAATAGGTATGATAGGATTTCCGCAAATTTAAAGAAATAAAATAATTTGATATTGATTGTAACTACAACATCCAGAGGAAGTGTTACAGGTTAACTCCCACCCACAGAATGCAACCCACAAAACAAGAAATTGTTGCCCAGATTGCCCTCTTAAAAACTAAAGTCCTCATAACTAAGGTACTCGGAGATGACAAGTGGCAGACACGAAAGGACTTCCATTTACAACCACCTCTCATGGAAGTACCACAGCAATGATCTATAACACGAATGGGGTCATTCGCAGGCTGGTTTAGTGTCAAAGCTGCTCAAGCATATAGCAAAGGATTGGAAGGCAGAGAGTGGGTAGCAATAATCCATAGTGAAGATGTCTTTGCCAATCTTTCCAAACTGTAGTATTACCTTTTCCTGCTCTGCTAGTGAGACATTGTGGGAAGGATCCACAGATGCCACGAGCTGGAAATTCTTAACAGAGGCCACCGTCACACGCCCTCTGAAATTTAAACACCAACATTGCAGCTGTTCATGCCATCTAGGTGCTTTGTTCTTTAAAATTAGTGCTTCTCTTGTTCTCTTGTTCTCTGTCTCTGAGAGGCTTGTGGAGCCGGAGTCAACAACTGGATCCTTGGATTTCGAAACTGATAAGCAAGCAGGTGCCTCCTCAAAGGAGTGTGGGAGTTCAGTAGGTGTTGGGGCGGTACCCCCTTCCTGAATTGCAGAGATGGGGATTGAGTTCATTGTACATTGCATTCTCCTCGGTCCTCTTGATCGGAGAACATTGAGCTCATAATTGATGATGGCTACATCATAGTTAGCTGCTGGAACCCTTGGAGATACCTGCTTGGAATGGATTCTCCTATTTGACCGACTACTTGATTGGACTACAGAGTCGCATGGAGGCTGGCTGTCATAAATGGTGAACTTGGTGCCCAGGAAATTGGACCTGGTAAAAGATTGACAACAAATTGTCAATGTCATGGAGCATTTCAGAACAAGCATTAGACGAATGACTAATAACCTAATGACACAATAAACAAAATAAAAAAGGAATGGTTAATAATTCAAATTTACCTTAGTTTTCCAACATATGTATTGCTTGCACGAGAGAAATCATGCCCAACCAAGGATACAACATAATCTGTACAAGCTGCTCTTCTAACCTTCTTGGCTGCAAGAAGCAGTTTATTGTTGTCCCCCAACGGAGCTGTGCATTCAATAAAATAATAAGTAGCATACATGAATAACCAAATTCACTTCATTTGATCAACATATTTACTTGGTCAACATTTGGAAGTCACATGACACAATCATTTTCATTTCATCAATATATTTAATTCGGAGGCATTTGGAGTAGTAGTTTACTGTAGCATTTCAATGCATGAATTGATCACCTAAAACAGATTTGTGGTCAAAATGTTGCTAAAAATCTGAAATCCAATTAAGCAGTATCATGGGTACTGCGTAACAAATTAAATTTCCTTTTCATCAGTAGACAAAAATAAAAAAATTGGATATAACCAAAAAAAAATGTTAGTTTCCAAGTCTTGGGACAAACTCCCAACTTTTGAAAGTGAAGGAATAGATATTTCCCACTCACTAAACAAATAGCTATTTCCCTTACTTATATTCTAAGGGTTCCTTAGATGTATTCCCTTTCTGAAATGTTACTATGGCAAGTTACAAAGGCCAATTTCCTGCAAATATATTTGGGATTACAGGAAAATGCATATTTGAGCTCAATACGTTTTTTCTGCTGTTTTGTGTGTAGCTTATAACTTTGCACCATAGAGATTGTAACGTGGTCAAATAGCATCATCAAATCAGTATCATTCTGTGTCCACATAATAATGCTTTAATACCTTCAAGCAATACATCCTGGAGCACCAATTAGTGCTTGATCCACCCTTCCCAACAATAAAGAAAATTTAAACCAATGGGATAGTTGTCAAGGCAACACCTAGGCGACTAGGCGCTTTTTATTGCTCGCCTCGCCTTAACACCAATCAATTTTATATCAAACCTTACACTATATTACAATGTTTTTATATTTTTATCTCATAATATTAGCACAGGCCACGCTACACCATAATATTGTTTTTATTACTTCATAAATCAATGCATTTGTGATAAAGAGCTCTTTACCAAAAAAAAAAGCAATAAAAAACTGAAGTTCTGTGAAGTTCAAAGACTTCAAGATTTTTCAAGTGATAAAGAACTGAAGTTTAAAGACTTCGAAACTTCGAAGGCTTAAAAGAGTGAAGACTTGAAGCAACAAGTAACACCAGTCAAACACAGATATGTTCGACTCCTCAAGAACAGAAATAGATGTCAGTACCTTCTTTTTCTGGGATAAGAAATAACTGTCTCTCCTTAAATTTCTGATTTATTTCCTTTCCTTTTTGGAACAAAAACAGGGGCTCTGCTCCTTAAAATTTCTGTTCTCCATTTGATTTTTTTTCTCTGCTTTTTGAAATGGTCATCATTTTCAAGTTTTTTTCTTGCATTTTTTTAAAACAATAACAGGGGCTTCCGCCCTTTTTCTCCTTATTTGTTGATTTTTTTCTTCTTTTTTATGTCAAAAACAGAGCAGCACCCTCTTTTACTAGGCGATGGTTATTTCTAAGACACCATCTTACAGAAGAAAAGGTTTATTTTTGAGACACAGGCCTAGAAACAGTATGAAAAATACGTTTAGTTTTGAGACACTGGGCGATGCATCGCCTAGGTGACTAGGCGACTAAGCGCTCCCTTGTTGCCTAGGTTCGCCTTGGCACCTTGAAAACAATCATATGTTTTTCTACTTATGCATATTACAACAACATCAAGGATGGATGCAAAACTAAGCTTTGACTATTTGCTTTTTATGTACTTGTGGTTTGTGAGGCAGTAGTATATAGGACTGCTTGTTATGGCCAGCAAACTTATGTTACTCAGATTCAGTGAGGAAACAGCTGTATATGGTATTGGATACAAATTTCATTTAAAGTTCAAGTATCTAATACGATGTGGCTCCCTTGTACAGGCATCCAAGTATCATAGCAGCAAATGCAAATTTTGCTTCAGAGCTTTTTTCTTTTACTTACCAAATGAAGGTAACTGCAACTTAAGGAAAATTAAGAGTTGTTGTCTTGCAACCAATTTTAAGATCCAACTTAACCAGCAATTATTCTATCAAGTCAGATTTGTTAGTTTCCATAGACCACTGAGATAGTATCAAGTTGAAATGCTAAATTCAAAATTGTAGTTTAGCGATGGTCAAAACAAGCTATTTATGATCAGGTTCTATTGATCTCTAAATGATCTAGATTCTAATTCATATTTCAGAAATAATCAGGTTTGATGTTAATAATAACTATTTCAGGGGTCTGATGAAGGCACTTCCCCAGTCAGAGGGCAAAAGAAAACTGTTTTTTTTTTTAATGGGTCTCAGCATGTCTTTGGGAGCTCAATTCAGTGTGTGCTGCACTGTGGCATTCATTGCTACCATTCATCAAAAACATAGAAGCAACAAAAGATCAAGTATTCAGGACAAGAACTTTCTAAGAAAAAAAAATGTTATACGAATGAACATTGGTTTTTGGTTTTATACCCAAATTTTCACCTCTAAGAGAATCAAATTATGCTGAATTCATTTTTTTTCACCCCCAAACATATAAATTAGGGTCTGAAAATAAAACAAAGATAGTCTTGATATTTTCTTTTTCTAGTCTAACAAACAAGGGGAAAATGGAACCAGACACCCAATTTGCACATGAGCAAGGCAGGCATGGCTGCACTAAAGCTATAGAAATAAGCACCCAAGCAATATTGAATTAATTACATTGAAATTTTTGTTGGATAAGCAATTCAAAGTTTCAAACAATGATCAACAAAAGAAATATAATACAACAATAAAAATAATAAAAATAATGTCTTAGGGGATGAAAAAAATGTGCAAAATAAAGCATATACCAGGGCAAAGACCAAGATAGAGTCGATAAGTAGAAGTTGATCTGTCCCTCCTTATAAAGCACTGAATGGGCGAGTCACGGGGCCCGGGCTATTCAAAGTTGAAGCAATGACAACCAAAAAAAGAAAATTAGTAGAGAAAATAGAGAGCAAAAGAATATTATCTGAAGAGAGAGAAGCGTAAGAACCTGCTTTAATGAGATAGGGAAGGTAATCTTTCCGCATTGCTCGGGAGCCTTGACAATTTCTTTTACAACCTCTCTCCATGACCTACAAACAGACGCACAAACAACGATACTTCTTCTCGCAGGCCACAATGTCTCGCTATTCTCCACTCTCTGGATCACATCCATAAGTAACTCCGGAGGTAGGTTAGCCCACGGGCCCTGTTCAATCGAATCCGTTTGGAACCGTGACACATCAGGGCTAATATGCGATCTCCTGTGGCTGCCCATATCCTTCCCTTCTCCCCCTCTCCTCGATTTGCACGAAATCCCATCCCTCATCTCCCTGAGCTCCCGAGCAAAGCTTTTGAACGGCATCGTAACCAAATAGATTCTTCTCCGATTGATTATAAGATAAGCAGACAAAGAAAAAAGAGAAAATAGAGGATTAGTGAGGTTAATAAGGAACGAACAAAACAACGGTTGTTTAGTTCCGAAAAAAGGATAAACTAAACAGTTGGTAATTTTTCGTTTCGACTTACCTGGAGTATACGGTGCAAATGTTTTTAGGTCTCAATCGAAATTTGATGGGCTCGAACTAAACGGAGAAATCTAACATCATTAAACCTATTACCGTAAATGGAAATTCTGGAAATTTAACGCCTCTATTGTTGCCCAATCAGTTCGGAGAACATTAATGCGAGATCACTCGATGCTTTCCTCTTCAGCTCCCAGTCTCCAACGAGAGAAGAGCAAATGTTTTGTAATCAACTTTGCCTCTCAACGCTGAAATAAGTTGTAATCTTCTGAAAACATTTGAATCCCACTAAATTGCTGTAATAAGTTGTAATCTCAACGCCGAAATAAGTTGTAATCTTAATTGTCAAAAGCAACTACTGCCTGACGACAGACAACATTTGAATCCCACTCAATTGCCTCCAACGCCCGCACAGGAAGGAATTCCTTGAACTTAAATTACAATAATTCGTGATGGACTCCAAGAAAGCCTCAACCCACAAAAGAGTGAAATGTAGGTTGAGCAGCCCAAAAATCTGTGCTTTTCCAATAAGACCAATCGACCAATGTGAAGAAACAAATTAGAAATGCAGCCCAAGAAACGAAAAAAAAAAAAATCGATCTATTTTTCGACGGAAAGAACCAACCTTCGAGCTCCGGCGAAGAACTAATCGATCCACCGGGCCAAACCAACTAAAAATACGGAATGTTCGTAATACGGGTTGCGTTGGAAATCAACAAGAGAAAATCCAGAATCTACCGGAGAAAATAAGGATCCTAGATCCGAGAGATAGAAAGGATGCAAATGCTGACGCTCTAGTGTCCTGAAATAACAAAAGTTGAGATCGGAGAGGCAAAGCCAAGCTCCAAATCCCCTCCACTTTTGTAATTTCAAAACCCTAGAGCTTCCTGGTCATGGTTGACAACCACCACCACCACCACCGCCACCGCCACCACCTCCAGCTCCGCCACTAGCACAACATTACTCGGATCCCAATATGTGTCCCTTGCTCCCTCTGCACAATAGTACGATACCTCCCTCCTCGAACGAATTGAACGGTCCTCCTCTTTTATTTCAGTTAGTTAAAAAAAAAATCTTTTTTTAATCACGAATTCTTGCAAAACCCCTTATTTTCTGTATTTTCCGAAAGAAGGTTTTGCCACCGTGGCACCTTGACCCCACAAGATTCCTGTCCGGATTTTCTTCCTCTCTCTCATCACACACATTTTTTTGTCGCCTATTTTTTTATTCATTGGAAAAGCAATTTGCCATTTGCCATTTGGCAGGCTCTGGTCTCTTATCATCCTTCCTTTTATTGATAAAGTGGTGTCATATCATCCTTTATCAATACATACACGTGAGGAGAGCATGGCAAAGTGAGTTTGGTTGTTAATGCAAGGCCATAAAGACCGTTCCTTGCCAATGGATTATCACGCACGAGTCTGTCTGGATCTTCTGCCCATACATAGATATTCCAATTGACGGGAGTGATATATTGTGGATAGGCGTGGATAAAATTCTCATGAACAGGAGATCCGGAATAATCAGGCACACGTTCGTTTCATTAAATGCTTTTCCATATCCCTTCATTCATCGATGGCGACAGGTGATATAAAGCGTTGGATACAGATGCACCAATCTGACGGACAAGAGAAAGCAAGGGATAAAACGAAAGAAAATCCCGAAAACAAATTGGAATAATAAGGCCGGCAAACGACGACGTGTCTTCCTCTTAAGGTGAATTGGGATCTACTTCTCACACGGACTTCACAGCCACGTAGGTGGATCGTGGTGTGTGGTGGCTCCTGTTCTCTTTTCATCATTTGACCTGTGATCGTGATTCGTGCATGCTTCTGCATAATTATTATAGACAGTAACCACTGTAGGTGTAGGATAGGGAAAGGGAAATATTCTATTTGCTTGGTGAGTTTCAACTTTCAAAGATAAACTTAAACTTACCCTATAGCCTATAGGGTAAAATACCACCCTGAAGCATTGACAATTATAACAACTTTTTCTGAGGTTTTCAGTCTTAACATAAAAAACCTCCCCCGTATTCTCACAAAATCCTGTAGCTAAATTGAGTCGAAGCCAATCGATTGATCAATTGATCGGTTTGGTTAATTAGAGTTCTCGATTTAGTTTCATTGTTTTCGTTCAGTTTTTCAGTTTATTATTTTCACCCCTAGTTACAAGATTACCCTTTAAGACACTTTTCAGTATAGTTCAAAATGTCAGATTTGCCCTTTTAGATTTCACTACATCTAACATTTTTATAGAGTAAAAGTATTCTATTCTTTTCTTTTTTATTCAGTGATTTCTTAAATTAAAAGTAAAAATTTCTTTTATGTACTTTTGAAATGGGTATCTTTGAAAAACTAATGCATTTGGTCAACATTTTCCATCCAAGTCAATAATAAAAGGGAGGTAATTGCAAGTTTTTTCAATGGTATAGGAGAAGTTTTTGTGAAAATAAAATCTCAATAGAGCTTTTTATGATTGTCAAAAACTTTGGGGGGAATTGAAAATAGTAACCTAAATTGAATGAAAATTGTTCAAGGGCATGGGCTAATGGTTGTTTATCTCAGAATTACCTCAAACACTTCTTCATATAGAAAATAAAATTGACCAAATAAAGCCAAACAGAATGGTTGGTTGTGCTTTATTAGGGACAAAAAATGGTATTTTTGTTTTTATTTTTTTGTTAAACTTATTCAAATGTATATTAAGTAAATTGATTGCAAATTGTAGGAGTGTTTTAATAAAATGCAAATTATAGGGTAGGTTTTAATAAATCCATAAAGCTATAGGGTGTTTTAATAAATTAGGGTCGGGAGTAACTAGAACCGGAACCAACCCGACATAAAATATTGAGGACCCGGAACTGAACCAAACTTGATAGGGTCTGCAATTTTTAGACTCAGAACCGAATTAATCAGTACTCAGGACAACTAGGTTTGACCCAGTGGACCCGATTATAATAAATAAATAAATACATTTAGTATATATTAAATATTATATATATTATACATTATATATAATTTATTTAATATGTTATGCATTATATATACTGTATGTACATAGCTCGGGTCAGGTCTAAATCGGTTTGGGCTTGGGTGGAACCAGTTCTGAACTGATAATAATCGGGACAATATTATATTAGGACCCGAAACTGACCCGTCAATCTCAGTTCCTAGAACTAGAAACGACCCAATTGTTTTACGTTCATCAGGTTGGGCTCGATCCATTGACAACCCTACCCTTAATAATACTATTAATATATATAGATAGATAGATAGATAGATAGATAGATAGATAGATAGATAGATAGATTAAAAAATAATATTTTTACATTGTAAACATTAATAATAATTTAATATTTTTACATAATATTGTAAATAACTAATTTCATTTATATCAAGTAATAATTCGAGAAAATAACTTTCAAAAACATTAATATTTATTAATAAAAATTTTAAACTCTTAATCTGTATTTATTATATAATTATATATACTAAAATTAATCTTTATTGTATTTCAGTAATTATTTATTGTTTTTTGTGATAAATGTATTTTCAATGGTTATGTATAAATTTATTTTGTTTTGTTATTTAACAGAAAACTTTAAATAATTATTGGAGATTAAACTACTATTATTAAATTTTTTTAATTTAATTTATTGTACTTAATGTATTTATTGTATTTTTGTTATAACTTATTGATTAATTAATATTTATTAGAGATTAATCTATTATTTGAGATTATACTATTTATTGACTAAGTTGATATATTTTTAGTACTTATTGTTTTTTCTTATAATTATTATATTTTTTTCATTATCAATATATTTTCAATAATTGTGTGTTTTCGCTATAAATTTTTAATAATTATTGAAGATTAAACTATTGATCGGAGATAAAACTATTAATTTAGCTAAAATTATGAGTGTTCATGAGTTGGTTCGGACCCGCCGTAAGCTATTTGGCCAACAAATTGACATAGTCAGGTTGGGGAGTTGGTTAGTTGAAACCGACTAACCTTTTGTGAAAACCGACCCACTCAAGTTGTATCGGTTTGGGTCGGTTTCCACAAAAGGTCAACCGGTTCAAAAGATTTAAACTTAAAAATTTAATTTAATTTTAAAAATTACAGTGCAATTGTAGGTACATGGTGGTCAATTAAACCATCAAAACAGAGGAGGTGTCAAACTAATACTATGCGAATGCCTGTAATGAGTCCATAACTCATTGCACATCTACGATGAATTCATAACTCATCACACATCTATGATGAATTCATAGCCGAAACAGGTTGTGATAAACTTTGGACCCATGTAGATTTGTAATGAGTTTAAATCCATCGTAGAACTGCGATGGGCTTTAAACCCACACGAACTTGCAATGAGTTTAAAGTCATCACATTATCGCGATTAGCGCAGACTCACCACAGATTAGAAACAAGTGATAAAAACACGTGTGTCGTTAAATAACACGCGTGATAGGACACCCCGTGAGCCTAATGAGGGTGCACAAGCTAAATAGTGACATCACCCATGCCACACCATTTTAAAAGGGTCATGAAAGGAAGTAGCACACGTGTATTATGAGAATCCCCAGACAAAAGGAAAATTCGTCCTTAAGATATCTCATAAGACACGTGGTGAAACTATAACAGTGTTCCCCAACAACTGACACCAAATCCAAGATTCCCTTTCCTAATGGGAACCAAACATTTTTTGCTCCCTTCTTTCGGGACCTTGGGATCTCTCCCTATAAATAGAGGTCTAATTTATAACGAGATAATAGTTCTATCACCTCATTTGCCCTAGCCTTTAGCCTACCTCCTGCACTTAGCTTTCTTTTGTCCTTCAATGAGACTCCCATACATAGCCTAACCACCTCACTCACAATAATTATTAAAAAATAAATTTAAAAATTAGATTTATGAAATGAAACATTTTAGACTAAGAAATAGGGAAATTTCTCACTTTTTCATATTTAAAAGTACATTTAAAATATAAAATATTAATATATATTCATGGTTAGGTCGTTCGATTTTGGTCGGTTTACAAATGGCCAAAGTGAAACTGATCTAACTTTGTTGAATTAAGAATTTTTTGAACCAAAGCCGACATAAAATACTAGAAAACCCACCAACTAGGGTCGAGTTGATCAAGTTGGTAGGTTTCATAAGTTTGATGAATAAACCTAACTGAAATTAATTATTGTTATTTTTGTATTATAAAAAAATTATTAAAAGTAGTATATAAAATATGAATAATTATTAATTATTTAAAAAGTTGAAAATATAAAACAATTGTATAGTCTTATGTATTTATATTAGGGTCATTTACTAGAACACACCTTATAGTTTTACATATTTACTTGAACCTACCTTATAGTTTTCATTTTACTAAAATATCCCTTATATTTTACAATTTATTTACTTAATCAACCTTTCATTAAGGAGTGTTTGTTTTGCCATTAAGCCCTTGATTTTTTATTCCAAAAAATACCCTTAACACTTTTTTTATACAAAAAACAAAATTGGCCAAATATAGCCAATAGAGTGGTTGATCGTGTCTTGTTAAGGGCAAAATGGTATTTTTTATTTCTATTTTCTTTTGATTAAATTTATTTAAATGAACATTAGGGTCAACACTGTCATTTTCCATTATCATCTAATGAAAGGTTTATTGCAAATTATAAGTGATATTTTAGTAAAATGCTAACTATATGGTAGATTTTTAGTAAATCCATGAAACTATAAGGGTATTTTAGTAAATGACCCATTCTATTATTTTATCTTTTGCTTAATAAATCCCATGCATTGCACGGTTCCCCACTAAGATAATTATTAATAAAACTAAATTTATTAAAAAATATTTGTTTATATTCAATTAACAATAATTATTTTTTATTAATCAACATTAAATGAAAATAAAATTATTAAATCTTTCAGATTATCTCGTGCATCGCACGGGTCCTGCTAGTAATACTACTAAAACACAACAAGACGAACAACATATATACAAAGACAGAATAGGTTCTACATTTCAGGTTTGGTCGAGTGAATGAAATCTAAACCTTACTCTACTATAATTCTTAATTTTTTATATTTATAAAACATTTGGCTCACAATTAAGCTTGAACTGTGCCAAGCTCAAACTTCCCAACTTTTGACTCGAGTCGGATTCAAGCTCAAATCTCTACCTCGAACCTCATAATTTATTGGTGAATTGAACTCGAGTCGGATTCAAGCTCAAGCTCAAATCCACCCTACTACTTTATGCTAATAAGATTTGGGTTACTAAACCCAATATCCAAAATGATTGGGCAAAGTAATTCAACAATCACTAGGAATGGCAACAGGGCGAGTTCGGGCCAGGGATCATAGCCCCATCCATGACCCTAATTCTGAAATTAACCCCATCTCCGTCCCCGATCCCTGATGGGGATGGGTTCCCCATTTGGACCCGAATCTCTAAAGTTTTTTAGACAACAGTAGTTTCTTTGAAAAATAAATTTACTTGAAATAAATTATAAATAATGTTTTAAATATTTTTGATATATAGAAATAATATATTCAATGTAAATAACATTATATATATATATATATATATATATATGTACATTCAAGGTCGGGGTGGGATAGGGACCTCAAGCCCCATATCTGACTCCACCCTATCAAAACAATCACCATCCCCAACCCAACGGGATTGGTGAAGTCGGATCCCCATGAGAAATGGGAAAAATTGCCATTCCTAATAATCACAAACCCAGTATGTTTTTTTGACACGATAACTTTTGTTTTTTAACGATGAGAGACGACCCACGAGTATTTAGAATAGAGAAAGTTGAGCTACCTTGTGCATGCATGATATGTTTAAGAGAATGGAGTCCTTTGTTAGCAGAAGTGTTTCACAATTCAACTGGTCCTACCGGTGATATATTAATGTAATATAGATATGTTTATAGGCCGGGTATCAGGCTCGGCCCATGAACATTGTACATTATTTTAGGCTCTAGCTTGGGCCAAGTGCGTATAAGATATAACAGCAAGCCAAATCGAAGCCTCACCCATGAACAGTTAGCGGTCTTTTTTAAGTGTAATACCAGATTGGATGTTTATAAGCATTAGATAATTAATTAGTTATCTTCTTCATGATTAGACGGGACACCTCTAATGAAATCATGACCTGCTTGGATTGCAGATCGTGGTGAATTCAAGTGATATGTCCAAACAGCCCATGATTTTAGCATGGCATAATGGCATTATCAGTCATGGAAATAGTTTCCTTTGTGGGCATTCCTGTAAACCTTAATTTAGAGTTGGTTTCTCTTGTTCATGAAACATGGGATTTGGTGTAGTTGCGTTGTCCTCAATTAGTCGTTGGCTCTCCCTAGCAATTTCTCTCTCTCAAAGGTGGTTATCAAGGCTGCCTGAAACTGCTGTTTTGTCTCTAAATAAGTTGTTCCTTTTCCCACCTACTAATCATGTTTAAAGAATCGATCTGTGGTTCTTTAACAACCACACATGCTGTTCTTAACTCCACCATTCAATATGTGAGATGTGACCCCCCAATCTCCCACTCCGAAAAATTCTTTAAAAAATTATAAGTGAACATAGAAAAGGAAAATTTAAAAACAAATGGATATTTTTCTATATTCATTTGAATATAATTAATTGTTCTACAAAAATAAAAACCAAAGCAAGTTGAAAAAAAAAAGGGACAGTTTGTTATGGTTAAAATAAAGTGAAATCTTATATATATATAAACCCCGTGATCACACTTCATACGCATGAAAGGGATAGGGAATTATTGGAAGCATTGAAGGATGTGGAGGACCATTTGGTAAGGGCGTATGACTCTGGCAAGGATGTCTCCAGGATGCTGGAGGCCAATAGAGTTCATCTGCAATCTGGTCTTGAGGAGATTAAAGGTGGGTTCTTTGTACACAAGTGTTCATTTTTCTATGTTTCTCCTCAATTCGTAATGTGGGTATACTTAAAAGTTTTTTTTTTTTTTTTTTTCTGCTGCAAATTTGCGGCGGAGTTTGTTTTATTTTATTTTTTATTTAATTTTGTACCTTACAATAAAATCTGATTGATTGGGGATCCTGTGATTAAAACAATGTGACACTCAGCTTCTCCTTTTCAGATATTTCTTTACTTTGTGGGTGTCCTCCCAGGTGGAGGCTTAGTTTGTTCAATTATATATCTCTCTATGGCTTATTCTACCATTACTTGTGTTGGTTCATATTTATCAATTTCTACTTAATGATAAATCCAACTATGCCTGTAACTAASCTATTTATACCAATTAAATGCAGAGAACTCCACAAAAATCATCCAAGCCATAACGTGGCACAGGTCTACTTCGTCTCAATCTTCATCTTGTAAGAGTTTCCTCGCGTCCGGTTCCAAAGGTTCCTCCACATGGACAGAATTTAAGAACGATCTCTTTGATGATTATGGAGGAATGGAACCAGGAAGCCATTCACTGAGGCTAGGAAGGTTATACGCTTGGGAAAAGAAGTTGTACGAAGAAGTTAAGGTAAACAAATTTCAATTACTTCAACTTTCATGCTTTGCTTCTAGAGCCAAATGCCATTCTTTCCCACCATTGGGTTCGCTGTCTGAAATCCGCTGTTATTTATTGAACCAAATCCCCTGTTAAATGTTCTTATTTACATGTTCATGTGCACAATACACAAACTCCGAATCATTTCTCCCTATTTATTTACATGTTTATAATTGACTATTGTAGGATATCACTCTCTGTAGATTTCAAAAGCTCGCGATTTTGATGATTTGTTTCCTATAATCGATCATGAAGGAAAATCTTCAACGGAACCAAAAATCTACGCCAGTCTTCTGTGGAAGCAACTCAACCACCTTGGGTAAGACCTTGAATTATATACTATAGCTCACAAATGGGAAAATTAGATTTTTTTTTTTTTTTATTTTGAGATAGAACTGAAAGGTTTCTGATTACCATTTGTTATTACAATCTGTTCTTGAGATTTCAGGAATGCTGGCTTTGATCCTGCAAAATTTTGAGTAGATCCATATGGTAATGTTCTTTATTACCATGCCGATTCGGCTTCTCCTCTTGCTTGGGAGATCGATCATTGGTTTCCTTGCTCAAGTAATAATCTATGGAAACTCTTTTGTTTTTCTCCTCAAGTTCAATTCAATTCTCTCTCTATCTAGACGCATACAAATGAGTTGCTTTGGCGGCCTTTTTTGAGACTACAGGAGGTGGACGGACTATTCCAGGCAATTTGAGGTTACTACAATGGCAAGTATGTAGGAAGAAACATAACAAGTTGGAATTTCTGGTTCCATGGTGGGATCTTCAATTGGGAATCTCTGTAAACCAGTTCTTGTCTATATTTGCTTCTTCAAATTCTGACTTCAGGTGAGTTTTGTAGTTTAGTCTAGTTTAAATAATTTAAATAAATAATAGCAGAGGTCTCGCTAGATGTTCACTCCCAATGTTCAGATTACTTGTTTTATTGTCTCGTAGTTTAGTCTAGTTTTTCTGTTTAATCTCAAGTATTTTTCTTTATTTTCTGTACGTTTGTTCCTATTGTTTAGTTCAATAAAGTTCTTGCTTGCTTTTCTAATTGTTTTTTCTTGACTTCTTGTTGTTGGCATTTGGCATCTTAATTAATTGTATTTTAAGCATTATTCAATGAAGTTTTATTGTTTGGCTTCAAATAGTTTTTCTCAAGTTCTCAACCATTGGAATGGAATCACGTCAGTTGATTTGTATCGGTTTGATGGTTGACAATTTGATTGCATGGTGACCATGTGCTTTTTACATTTTGTGAAAAAGAAAATTTAATATTTTAATTTAATGTCAATCTTAAAAAAAAAAAAAAAAACTTGAACGGTTGTTTGATAACAACTGCAAATGCTGAACTTATTGCTTTGTTTTTAACGAATAAATTTTTAAGAAGGTTGTAAGATCCTTAATAGCTGAAACTAAGGTTGTTAGATCACTATCTTTTAGTTCAGCCATTTCAACTGTTAACAAATGGCCCCCTTGAGATACTGCTAGTAGGGGTGTATATAAGTTTGTCGGGCCCAGCCTAAACTCAAACTAACCAAGCCCACAATTTTACAGAATTGGACTTGGGCTTAGATTTCCTATCCTTGGGATAGGCCTGGACCCAATGAATTGCAATTAATGTTTGCGCCAAGCATGATATTATTATATCTACGACTTGAACTCTTATCATTTGCATAGGAAATCAAAGAAGTAACCATCTAATTCATTACTTTTATATGTATGATAAATATTAAAAACATATTATGTATTATTTACATGACTCGTAGTCTTTTTTTGGTAAGATATGAGCCGTAGTCAAATTGTTTAAATTGCGATCCATCAAGCATGGTATTTATTGTTGGAAGGCATCAACTTGAAATGATACAATGGTGCAGATGTATGATGTAAGGTAATTAATTAGTCATTCATCCATACAAGAAACAATTTGTATACCATTTTATAATTCTCATGCATTCACATTCACAGTAATTAAGAGGCAAAGAAAATTATTGCTAATACCATTTTAGTCCCTTTGCTTTGGTATTACCAGAAACAGTGTTTGTGGGATACCCCTCCCCTGAATGTGTTTACAGTCACAGCAGGTAAGGGCAGGAAACAGTTGAAATCAAGGGTGCAAATTCCGCTTGGCATTTTACACTGCTTTCGGCTCAGGCCTTGGGGCCTAATTGATTTTGAAAATTAAATAACAGAATGCAATGCTACAAGACCTTATTGTAACATGTAAGGGTAGATGAATTGAAAATTAAATATTTGTATATATGCCTAATTATTTTTGATAAATAAGGGAAAATTAATTACACTACACACGACGATGGGAAACATAACACAACACATGGGCGAAAAGAAAGAAAATCAAAATTCTGCAAAATCCTCCGCCTAAGGATATCAATGGGTCGGGTTAAATGGCAAATCCGGCTTCATTCAATCCTATAGGTTTTGGGTTAGGGTCAAGTATATTCGATTTAGGGTTGGATTAGGGTTTTTATCCTTCAAGTGTCGGGTTTGGGTTTTGGCTGACTTGTCTCGATAGGTCATAATACCCTGCATATATACAAAGTATTTTTTGAAATTTTTTACTTCTAACTCTATAACCTTAAAGTTTAAGATTTATATACACATTTAGTTTTCCTTTTTTTTTAATGAGAAAAAGTAATATCTTAAAATCTATAAAATAAATTTTTAACTTAAATTAACGAATTTTATGTCTTCAAAACATGTTTAAAACATGAAATTGAAATGTTACAGGTCGAATCAAATTCGGGTTAGGGCACTGAAAGGTTGGGTTAGGATTGAAGCAAAACCCGTGCCAAATCCGACCTGTTGGTATCCCTACTCTCGCCCATTGGCCAGCCAGCTAGCCCCTTCGTTCCTTTCTCAGTGGATGTGGTTATTGGTAATCGTAACAGATGTGGGAGTGACTGCAGCGGTCCTTTTGTATTCCTCCAGCATAACCTGCCTGACATCTCCAAGCACGATCTCATCTTATCTTTGAGAGCATCGATGGTCTTCTTAGAATCCCCTTCTTATTATGATTTTATCCATATTAAGATCCTAGCTTGATCAATTTGTGAGCTTCTAAGGCTGCCCTCATCTCAGCCACTGCATGCTATAGTAGACTGCGTTTGTTTATGATGTAAATACAAAATTACACTGGTAGAATTTTATACTGGTCAGGTTTCTGAGTGTAAAAAGCAAACTGGTTTTGTACTCCTTTTACACTCTTGTGTGTTTGGATGATCGATGTATTTACATCGCTTAAGCCTTTGATTGTTCAATCCCTCTCTTTTTTTTTTTTTTCATGTCCAAAAAGTCTAAAAAGTTGCAGCTGAGATAAATGTTTTCATTTTCATCGTAGAACAATAACCCCTATTTTTCTATGATGAATCAATGGATAAATGATGAATCGGTATTAAATATTTATAAGAAATTATAAGGGAAAACATGAGAAAGAACAAAGAGTTTCGTAGGATTTTTAGACGAAATCTGGTAACAAAATAACCCACGGAAAATCAATTTGGGATCGAAATCTGTCTCTAGATCGAAATATGTTGCATCTGTGACAAGAGCTTCGTAAGATTTAGACTTATAGACTGAGACTTTGGTCTTGGGATTGAAAGCTGGAGCTTCTTTGCTGCTACTCCATGTCATGTAGTTGGGAGAACTACCGTTACATCGATGAAGAGCTGAGAAGAGGTTTTTACATCGATTTTTTTTTTTTTTATGTATTTTTTATATTGAGAAATCGATGTAAAAATCTATCAAAAAACTTGTTTAAATCGATATTCGCTTTTATTTTACGCTCCAACCAAACAACTGTAAAACTGAATCAAAGTGTAAAATTACATTTAAATATATTATATTTGGGAGGCAAAGCTTTATTGTTAAAGATTTTCTTATTTCTACATTTTAAATATATCATAAAATATAAGAAAAGTTAATTAACTTATTGGTACAAATAATTGACATTTTAAGAAAATGTGGAACATATATTCTCAGTCATACCACAGGTTTGGCAATCCGAGCTTGTTCCCAAACTAATTCATCCTCTGTATCCTCCGTGTATAAATGCTTAATTAATTATTTGTTACACGGGTCAAGACTCAAGACTCAAAAAGATGCTTAGAGGTGCAGGCAAGGTAGGTAGCACAGCTGGTTGGGTTTTGCTTTGGCCAAATGCCCAATCATACATACACCGCTGTGTGCTCGATCGTCGATTTCCGGTTTAAGACTTTAAGTCACTACACTTTATATAGGCAAAGCGTGAGAAGGAAGGCGTTGCCTATCCAACGTAACTGTACAGCAGGTTGCTAACAAATGAACAACTGCAACAAATTATATATATTGAATCAACACGTAGACGTAGAGCTGTCAAATTAAAGTAATAGCTAGGAGGAAGAGCGCGCAGATCCATCATCCATATCGATTCTATTCTCAAGAGTCAAGTCTAGCTAGCTCAATCCCACGGGCCACGCCCACCATGCATATCTATAATCCCAAATTAATTAAAATGCCACTCTAATAAGCTACGTACGGTATTAATTGGTTGAGAACAGACGTTAAATCCATATTGCTTGCTTCGACTTTGAGAGGTAGCATTATATTTCATTATTAATTAGTAATCCCTTACTAATACAGCTAGCTACGGTAACCTATTCGCAAGTCACGATTCTATTGCCCATTACTTATCAGGGGTGTCAATCCAATGGATCAGGTCTAATTGGGATCAATTCAATTCAATGTCAGGATTGTCTAATTTATTCAAATTCGTTTTAATTTAGATAGGTTTCAACCCAAATCTAATCCATTAACACTTGTGTATTCTTATCTTAGATTAATAGATTAGATGTTGACTTAATCCAACAGAATCTAATATAAATTTATTACGGATGGATTAGGTCCAGTCCAATCTAATCCATATAAATTGATTTTGGACCGGACAACTGGTTACTTAAACTATATCAACAAATTAAACTAATACTAATTCAAGGATGATGTACGTGTACGGTGTACCCCTCCAAACCAAACCCTTTTGGGATTGGGAGGCCAGGGCTTCAGGGCGGGCTCCACCTCCACGCAGCTACTGGTGTGGCCAGAGGGCTTCATGACCAAGGGGTCATGACTCATGACAGTTGAATTGACCACCCGCCAATCCCATGCATGACAAGTTGACAACCTCCTCCTTAATTTCTAGTTCAAATCAAGTTTAAACAGACAAGGCGCGTTAATTACTCACGGGCTTACCTTGCTTACTGTAATTAATCACGCTTTATAAACCAATAATGCTTTAATTTTTTTTTTCTAAGCTCTCACTGCTTTGTTATATCTTTAGAATTGTGGTCCAATCCGATCCAAATCCAAATGCATGCTGGCATGGAATTGAATACTGAATACTGATAAAATCCAAGTGTAAGGATTAAGGGCTAGGGGTCGAGGTTTTCAATTTGCTTGCAAAAGTAGGGCCGCCATTCCACTGGCCCACTGCCACTTTGTAAAATACGTACATCACAAACAAAATTCTATTCAGGGTAATTAATTGTTAAAGTAGGTCCGAAGATAGCTCTGCTGGCTCCTCTATTAGATTAGATTATTAGCAGATTTGTTCATTCAATTCATACTTACGTGAAGTTGAAGATCGCGCGCCATACTTCAATTCTCAACTTCGCTAGTTGAAAGGAAACGGCTATCTTGATTCTTGTATGTGTTGACCCTCCATCGGGAAGGATTCATATGGCCGGCTTTATAATAAGCTCTCTGCTACATCTGCTTCCTCATCCTCCTCAGTGTTCCCTAATTAATTTCCTTCATCATTTTGTCCATCTCCCTGAAATTATTAAAAGTTGATGCCCTTCACCTCCTTGGAGACTACAGTAGTAATTAAAGACCCACATGGGTGTTGCGACGACAATGGGGTTTCCATTTCAGCCCTGCTTTGTTCTTCTATTTGTTGCCATAGCTTTGATTTCTTTGGTGGCTACGGCCTCTACAGCCCGTCCCTCCCACATGTCGACTGCCCTTCTCATCAGAGTAGATCAATCGGGTAAAGGTGATTTTAAAACTGTTCAAGATGCTATTGATTCAGTGCCATCCAATAACTCGAACGTGGTCTTCATATGGGTCAAACCAGGAACCTACAGGTCTCTCTGTCTTCTTCCTGATGAGCTTAATTAATTTGTGTTCAGTGTTCACTGAGTACTGCATGTGTCAAAGAAGGATATAGATGTGTTAAAGCAAATTAAACGTAAATTATATTTGATGATATATATGCATGATGACAACTCAATATGTTATAATTAGTGTAACTTAATTGGATATTTAATTAGTAGCTATTGTATCCTTTCTTTATTATGCATGCTTACAGAGAAAAGGTTGTGGTGCCGGCCGGCAAACCATACATAACATTGAGCGGTTCAAACCCCACTACCACCATAATAACATGGAATGACAGTGGAGTGATATTCCAGTCTCCAACGCTCTCTGTATTGGCAACTGATTTTGTAGCACGATATCTCACAATTCAGGTATTCCTCTTTCCATTTCTAACATTCTAATTAGATGATCCTTCTCCCCAAAAGATTTCTGAATTTAATCCTTCTTAATTATATTTCAAAACATATAATAAATTAAGTCGATAGTTCCATATATATATATATATATATATATATATATATGACAGTAGAAATTTTAATAATTAATTAAATGCATGTTTACACAGAACACACATGGTCCGGGCAGCCAAGCGGTTGCGCTGAGGGTATCGGCAGACCGAGCAGCATTCTATGCGTGCAGGATACTGTCTTATCAGGATACCATCCTCGATGACACAGGGAGACACTATTACAGAAACTGTTACATTGAAGGACAGACCGATTTCATATGTGGAAACGGGGCCTCCCTCTTTGAAGTAATTAAGCTAATTAAGTCAAGTCTTGTGCATGCATATATATATCTGATATCCATCGGTTACATCCCGATCACAATAACTTACTTATTATTAACTCCAATTAATGAATTCTCTACGCGTTTTGATTTAAGTGGATATGATTAAGATGCATGGGTTTGGCTGCAGAAATGCCACCTGCATTCGCTTTCGGAGGGAGCTGGTGCTATCACAGCACAACATAGAGAGTCTCCGGCAGAAAACACTGGCTTCACCTTCTTGGGTTGCAGGATCACCGGAGTTGGGACTGCCGTCTTAGGAAGGCCATGGGGTGCTTATTCTAGGGTGGTTTTTGCTCTCAGTTACATATCAAATGTGATATTACCTCAGGGATGGGACAATTGGGGCGACCCAACAAAGCAAAGGTCGTGCTATATCATTCATTCTTGTTAATTAATTTGATCAATAACTTTTTTTTTTTTTAATGTAGTAATTAAGCCGGGTTTAATTTGTTGGGAACAATATTAATTATTAAGTTCAAGGCTTCAACCTAACTTACCATATACTAATAATTAATTAATTAAACTAACTGCATAGCTTGTATTTGGTTTGCAGCACCGCATATTATGGGGAGTACAAGTGCTATGGAGCAGGGGCCAATGTATCAGGAAGAGTCGAATGGTCACACAATCTCTCAAATGCCGAGGCCGCACCCTTCTTGACCAAAGACATGATCGGTGGTCGAGGATGGCTTAGGCCATCGCCTACCCGTTTCATCGGGAGAGCCTCGACCAAGGCTGTGAACGGAAATATATAACAAATAGCACGTACAGCAGCTATATATGCTTTATAAAATATTCTTAATTTTTTGTCATCTGGATGCGAGAATAGGTGGTTACAGTGTTACACATTAATTCATGCATTCATGGTTGTCTTGGCCGTCGACTCAACTTGTTCATATCTGCTGTCACTTTCTGTCCATACTTTATTATTTCGTAAAGTGAAAAATTAATTCTTTGGAGTTTGCATTCAGTTTTACAAATTACAAATCGATGGGTTTCATCAAATTTACCCAAGGAGTACAGATACAAATATATAGAGTCTAAAATCATGTATTTTGTATTATTTTGTATGTATTTATATTCTTTTCAAACTGAACCTTATTACATAAACAATTGACCGATCCATAGTGGTAAATGCAACTGTAGCTCAATTTGGAATGGAAGGAATACAAGTATAAATATGTACTTTGCACTGTTCATATTTATATTTGTACTCCTTCCAAACTGATAGATGCGGCCTGGGCTCATGGGCTCTCTATGAGAATGTATTATACCTACCTAGCTACCAATGAGTTGAAGCTTACATCAAATCAAAGGTTATTTCAGTCATCAGTTCAAGTAGACAATTAACAATGTAATCTAACTCTCACTTAGGTAATTTCTCTCTCAATCAAATTGTAAGGTCTAAGTTCTCTTTATTTTGTTAGCTAGAAATTAAATTATTTATTTGGATAAATGCATATATGTAATTATTATTTGAGAAAGTAAGTGCATTTAAATGCAACAAATAGTAAAAAATGCAAATAAATAGAGTGCAAAATCATTAGGATCAGGGTACCCATTGGATTGTCAAGGTGAGCTTTAGGGTTCTTTTTTTTCCGTTTTTCACCGAACATCACTTCCACCGTTCAAGGCATGAAGCAAATTTCAGTTCTAAGAAGAAGGAGAAGAAAAGGCTTTGATTTCAGCTTCTTCAGAAACTTGAGGTAAATTTCAAAATGATTTCTTCTCCAGTTTCGACATATCTTCTCCATCATCCACTCATTCCTTATCAAAGCTTTCCTACTCAAAACATTGTCACTCTCTTTTTCCATTGTCATTACCCAACCACATTTGTATAGAAGCCCATTTCAACATTTCTTCAAATCTCGAATCTCCATTACATCATCTTCTGGTCTCTAAGAACGGGAAAGGTGGGTTTTTCCGGCTGCAACACCACCACAGATAGCGGCAACAACGAATTCGAGTATTGCTGAGGTTGACACAGTGATTTAAGGCCAAGCTAAAGGAGAATAGGTTTCATAGAACATGGAGGACAAAACTTGTCTACTCGATTGATAAAAAATTATTTATTTATTTTTTTTTATATTTTGAATATATATTGAAAAATTTTCTTAAAGTACTCCTATAATTTAGGAAATTGACTCACTTGTTTATATAAGTCAAAGTGGGTGGGTTAGGATGGGCTGTGACCCACTAACAAATATTTATACTAGGTCCCTATTGGGGTTGTGGGACATTAATGGATGGGTTGGTACTCAATCCTCACCCGAAACCCAACCCAACCCACCCATTGCCCAATGAGATCTAAAATCTAAGTCAATCGATGCTTTTTTCTTGTAAGCCTAATCTAGACTCTAGAGTCATGGTTAATGTAGGAGGATCAAAAATTGGATTTTGAGTCAAAAGATGGATAGAACTTGACTAAGTCATAGTATGATTTAATTACAACATGTGGAGAATCGAAATTTTGGGAAGGCGTAAAAGTTCCACTTTTTTGATAAAATTTGAAAAATTCCCTAAAATTTACTATATGAATTATTAAATTTATAATACTATAACTACTAGTGTTTTGGTTGAATGAATCTTGCCTGGGGGCTTAAGAAAAATTCCCAAGTTATATAAATATAATAAATTAATAGCAAATATGACAAAGCCTCAAACAAATCTAGTATGTGTTTGGCTCTGTTTATGTTTATAGAATAAACATTTGTACTTTATTTGCCGGTAAAACCGAGAAATGTAATAATTGTAATCGTTTATGACAACTAGGCGCCACTTCAACGTAACAGTGAATATACGTCTGGCCATTTGTGGAAGCTTCAAAAAATAACTTCTACAAACCGGTGGCATGTATACAAACCAAAATTCACTTTCTACATTTTCGATATATACAAAAGAACAAGAGAGAGAAAATGCTAAAATGGCACCTATGTGACATCATCAATAATCGTTTATAAACAGAACCAAACATCCACCTGGCTAATTTCTACATATGGGACCGAATCAATAGTTAAAAACAACAACGGTTTAATTCCCAACCATGGCCTAAATCTCCCGTGCTTAAAAGTTAAAACCATAGGCCTAAGAGATTCAACTTAGAAGTAACTCCATCTATTCCGTCCCGAAAACATCCGTATTCTTTACTGCACATATCCAACATTTAAGGGATGGAGTAATGTATAAAATAATCATCAAATATGAACCATTCCTATTTCTTAACGATAAAGCTCATCTGATTTTGGCTGGCATGCAATGTACCTTACTGCTTAAATCTCTAATATTTTATATATAGTTTATAAATGGGTGCATCTGATCAGGCTTTCCCGGCCGGTTCCTTTCCAGAATTGGTTTCCCAGCAACTACGCGAATACTCCTCTCTAAAGGTCTCTTTCAGTATTTGGTTACAAACCCTTCACATCCTTTACCTAATCTCTGTATCAGCTGCACCTCCTCCTTCCTCCTTTAACAAACTGATGGCCAACTCTAACCTCTTCGTCTTTAACTATATAAGCATTAATTGTCGGTCATCAACCTGCATTAATTCATCCACACACCTGACTTGCGCCGGCCGGGGAAATTTTCAGGCAAACCAATGGCGTCAAGAAAGAGCGGTTTCTATCATTGCAGGTCGCTCTTTCAACTCTTCGTCTTGGTTGGGGTTGCCTCCATCCTTCTTCCTGCAGAAGCCGCCGTGAAAAAGTATCAGTTCGATGTAAGTGATTTTCACATATATAGTTGCACTAGTTGTGTGCAATATTGTTCTTCGTCATTGTGTTTTTTACTTGTTATATCATTCGCTTGAGGGTTATCCTCTTTTCTTCCATTCCCAATTCCCAGGTTCAAGTGAAGAATGTGAGCAGATTATGCCATGCAAAACCCATTGTTACAGTAAATGGGATGTTCCCAGGACCTACCATTTATGCCAGGGAGGGCGATCGAGTTCACGTCAATGTCACCAACTATGCCCAATATAATATGTCTATTCATTGGTAAGCCCTACACAGACATGTATGCATGTATATATACATCACTTGATCACTAATTAAGAAGCTGAGGTTTATGGCTTCTCGGTTTCTCTACTCTAGGCATGGATTGAAACAATTCCGGAATGGCTGGGCGGATGGACCAGCTTATATAACACAGTGTCCCATCCAAACTGGACAAAGCTACGTTTATGATTTCAATGTAACTGGACAAAGAGGAACTCTGTGGTGGCATGCACATATCCTTTGGTTAAGGGCGACAGTTTATGGTGCGATTGTCATCATGCCAAAGGAAGGAACCCCGTTTCCATTCCCACAGCCTTATAGTGAAGTTAATTTACTCTTAGGTGAGTACTCAATAGTACGTAACAAATCATAATGGAAGAACCTCACTTGTCTTCCCATTCTATACGTACCTTCAATAAGGAAAATTTCATTATGATCGAAGTTAGGTATACATATATATATATATATATAAACAGTTCTTATTCTTGTAGGAGAATGGTGGAACACCGACGTTGAAGAGGCAGTTAAACAAGGCAACAAGCTTGGCTTGCCGCCGGTAGCATCAGAAGCGCATACTATCAATGGGAAGCCGGGGCCACTTTTCCCATGCTCGGAGAAGCGTAAGAAAAATTAGTTGGCATTCTTTCAATCAATAATTTGAACATTCTTTTAGAAAAAATAGCGATTAATTTAAGCAAAAGGGTTATATATATATATCATGACTAAATTCAATTCTAGCTAGCTAGCAAGTTACTCTTGTTTTATATATTTGTTTTAGATACATTCGCAATGGAGGTTGAGCAGGGAAAGAGCTACCTACTGAGAATCATCAATTCTGCACTCAATGACGAACTTTTCTTTGGTATTGGTGGTCACAACATGACAGTGGTTGAGATAGATGCAGTTTATACCAAGCCTTTCAGCACAGAGGCCATACTAATCGCACCAGGCCAGACCACAAACGTTCTAGTTCAAGCCAACCAAGTTCCAGGAAGATATTTCATGGCTGCTAGGCCTTTCATGGACGCACCAATTCCCGTAGACAACAAAACTGCCACGGCTATACTGCAATACAAAGGCATCCCAAACACCCTTCTCCCAGCTCTTCCTCATTTGCCTGCACCAAACGACACAGCATTCGCATTGAATTATACCCACAAGCTTAGAAGCCTAAACACTCGAGAGTTCCCCGCCAATGTCCCCCTGAATGTCGATCGGCATCTTTTCTATACGATTGGTTTGGGTGTAAACCCGTGCTCCACTTGCGTGAATGGAACAGAACTCACTGCTTCCTTGAACAACATCACTTTCGTAATGCCCCAAATTGGGCTTCTTCAAGCTCATTATTTCAACATCAAGGGAGTATTTAGGACAGATTTCCCCGATCGTCCTCCCACTCCTTTCAATTATACTGGTGCTCCACTTACTGCCAACCTTAGAACTTCCTCGGGTACCAGGCTTAGTAGGATTGCCTACAACTCTTCTGTGGAATTAGTGCTTCAAGACACCAATCTTCTCAGTGTAGAGTCCCATCCCTTTCACCTTCATGGTTACAATTTCTTTGTTGTTGGAACTGGAATTGGGAACTTCGATCCTACAAAAGACCCGGCCAGTTTTAACTTGGTAGATCCGCCAGAGAGGAATACAGTCGGGGTTCCCACCGGAGGTTGGACTGCTATTCGATTCAAGGCCGATAACCCAGGTGTGTGGTTCATGCACTGTCATTTGGAGCTCCACACTAGTTGGGGTTTGAAGACGGCTTTCGTCGTAGAGGATGGACCAGGGTCTGACCAATCCATTCTACCTCCACCCAAGGATCTGCCCCCGTGCTAGCTAGCTAGCTGTCAAATATTGTTAATTTAGTAATAACAAGGCTTTATTGTATCCATCATCTCCGGCAGAAGTTGCAGAGAGATTCATGGATGATGATCAGTGAAATTGGAGAAAACAAGTTTAAAAAGGGGTGCGAGTCTGTTTAATTTGTTTATTGTTTTGAGTGTCACTCTCGTGTAATAAATTCCACCATCGAAGATGGATTCTTGTGTTTTTTGGTCGATTATTGTTCTACTCTCACTGTCTCACATATATATATGCTCAGTACGCGTAACGCGTGAGGAAGGCAATTAATGGATCCGATTCCTCATGTGTCAAGGGCATTGGGTTGGATCAAGTTTAAGACAAATTAACCTGGAATTAGATTTATTTATTTTGTTGTTTACGACCTGGACTAATGGATTTAAATCGATCCTGTTGAGAATGCTACCGAAGGAGTCCTAGGGCCTGTGTTTGATTCATAAGAATAGGGAGGGGTGATCTGAAATTGGAAAATTATAATTGTTTGGTTGAGTAGAATCGGAACCTTATTACCATTCATTCTTAAATGGTTTTATCCCATTTGTGAAATAAATCCCATTCCACCTTATTCTAATTCTCATTTCAATTTCTATATGAATTAAACAGACTATGAGAATAGATAAGGAATTTTGATTCTGATTCCCATTTTAGCGGTAAACCAAACCACCCTATGCAAACCCTACTAAGGCCTAATTTAAATTCAGTTTTTAAGATGGTTCCAGAGAGAGAAGGCAGTGTTCGAGCAAACTATTTTGTTTTAAAATGCTATTTATATATAAGATGGTGCCAAATGGCTCACGTCTCTGGCTGGCTGGTTGTCATTAGGATTGGTTTGGGGGGCCGGGAGCTCATTGGGTAAGAAATCGGCTACCCTGCTTAGTGTTTACTTAGACACTCCCTAGTCCCTACAGATTTACCTATTTATTAAAACCTACACTTTACTTGGTCTTTTACTAAAATCCCCCTTATAGTGCTTTACTTACTGTTAAACTATGTTAAACCTATAGTTATTTGCTTAGTTAACCTTTTGGAAGGGATGGTCATCTTAAAATTTTATTAATCATTATTAAAAAAAAATCATTTATATTTATTTCTATCTCACATGACTTCATAAAACAAGTGGAGAATGTGAAAGAGCATCAGTCTAGGATTTTTTTTTACTTTTTCTATACCAAGTTAAAATGTTCAGGGAGGGTTTGTTTCCTAAAATGTTAATAAGAGAATTATCAGGAATATTTTCAGAATAAATAGCTTTGAGAAATACCCTTTCACATTTTCAACTCGTTTAATTTTAAAAGGCCATTGGACCATTGGTAGACAGAAATATAAACCAGTCTTGACAACGTGGATTAAGTAAAACAGTTGTAAACTCTACTAAATCTGGAAAAACTTTAGCTGTTGGGGGGCAACGGCATAGGGTGTTGAGAGTTTCTGAAAATGCCACCTTACCATGAAAATGGATAAATTGATAATTACATCTCAATTTATTTTTACTAAATACCAAAACATAGGTGTGAATAGGTGAACTGTTCACAACATGTCCAGCCCAGAAACTGTCTCAACAGCGTATGCTGTTCGGTCCCAACAGCCAAAGTCAATCTAGAAAATCTGGGTTCATCTTTGAGGCATCATAAATTTTGCCTCAGATTTTTACTAGTTTTATAAGAAGAACAAAATTTTTATATATATTCATCTAAAACCAGTCATGCCTGTAAGTAATGCTGGGTTATTTACACCAAGGAACTCGGATTTCCTACACTCGATTTCATATGTGCGGAGGTGGATTTCCAATCAAATTGGGACACATCAAGAGTTTGCACAGTATCCTCGCCCAAATGTTTAAGCCATTTAAACGGAGTAGTTTGCCCATTATCGGGGGCAATTTTAACAGTGTTGATCAACATTCAATAACTCATGACTACTCGCAGCCTTTTTCCATTGTCTCGTAAAACTCCATTTTTCTTCATTTTGCAGAGATCGAAGGAAGAAGAATTTGGGACTCCAAACAGAAAGATATACACTCTTCTTCGCATGTCTCCAACTCTCCATAAACATCAGATCAGATGAAGAAATTAGAAAATCTTATCGATGGGCATAAATCTATCACCCCAATAAATACTAATCTCCACAGATGAAGATATTGCTACAGAAGATGTTCAACAGATTCATGAAGCATATGAAATCTTAATAATAAGGGAAATTTCCCAATAGGTACGCTGTACGTTAGGTTAGGTCGAGTGCTTATTTAGTATCGAATTTTAAAACACGACAATTTAATATCCGAACTTTTAAAATGTGATAATCTAGTGCTGATAGTTAATCAGCCGTTAAGTATTATGGAAAAAGATGCAAATGTCTTCCAAGTATTATCTAATTTTCTTTATCAACCATCTGCAATCTATAAGTCTGCAACAACTATAGAAAGGGAGGCTGAGCACCTACAGACAGTTGAACCATCGACCCAGAAACCGGTGGCCAGAACGGCTCCGGTTCTGCATCGTTTTTTAAAACATTGAATTTTGTATTATAGTTCCTCTGTTATCCTTTTCACATGGCATGGTTTGACAAAATCTGCAAAGGCAAAGCCGAACTATCTCTTCCGCTGAGTCAAGTTCAGACCGTCAGACGCTTACATAGAAGAGACGTGAAGACCGACGACTACACCCATGACCAGAAATTGTCGTTTAAGCTGACCAGAAACTCTGTTTCTGTTCCTGTTTTTTTTTACCTTTTTAATACTTTTGACGCTTAACAGTTATTTCTTATTCATCTTCTTCTCGGAAAGGAAGGTTTTTTCAAGTGGGAGTCTTTGACACGGGTCTTTTGGTGATTTATGAAGAAGAATTCGAGATAGATAATTTGCTTGGAACTCAGTTGAGGTCTTTAGCCTCCTCTTGATTGGGAATGTATTCTTTGAATTGGGTTCTAGAAAAGTGGGTGTTTTGATTATTTGAGAAAATGAGATTTCAGAAAGAAAGAAAGGACTTTTCTTTAGATTCAGTTGGAATTTTCTCAGTTTCTAGACATGGGTTTTGTTTATTTAAACCTGGAGATTGGAAATTTGAGTTTTTAGTCTTACAGAGCTGGGATTTGAATAATAATAGAAGCTGATGAATATGATCGAGCATTTAGGGTCTGAGTTTGATCAATTTTCACTGTAACGAGAAGTAGGTCTTGGGATATTAGACATGGGTTCTGTGAATTCTGTAAGTTTCAAGTCATTATAAAGCTATGGAGATTGGGAAGAGCTGAGCTTTAAATCGAGGCTTGAGGGTTTCTGTGTGTTCTGGAAGTAGGAGCTATGGAGTTTTAGAAAATTTGTTGAATTCTGTTAAGTTTACATGAATTGTAATGGTCTTCCTTTGGCTCTTGCCTTGATGGATTTTCGTCATGAAATGATGGTCTGGACCGTTACCGTTGAGAGCTTGGGATCTGATCATTTTCTTGAGAAAGAAGATGATGAACGGTGTGTTTTATTTCTAATGATAATTTTGACACTTTCAAAAGTCTTAAATTGCACACGAGGGCATGTGATATGCATAACTGACGGTCTATTAACAATGAGTATTAAATTGTCGCATTTTGAAAGTTTCGAGTATTAAATTATTGCCTTTTAAAGTTTGGATACTAAATTGACACTCAACCTAAAATACAGGGTACCTGTCAAGAACTTTACCTAGTAAAAATGTGTATTAAAATAATAAAGAAAACTGTCGAAAATAAAACCCTAACCTGGGTGCTGGGTGGACACCATTAACGAACGTTTGCAAAACAAGTGGAGAAGCCATTTACAAAAAAATCATTTCAAGATGTAAAGCAACCCATGTGCTTGTGTGAACTAGTTTCGATAATAACTCCATTTTGAAGGTCAAATATATAAAATTTCAAGGTCAAAACAACAAGATTGTTGTTGCTTCAATTTGCATTTGTGGAATAAGAAATACTGAACCTTGACATAAACGGCGTCCGCCTGGTTTGCTTTGTAATGGTTTTCTCTGTTTTCCCCTATTTTCCATCCATCGAAATGTCAACTGGGCTTTCATACTTCATAGCATCTCTTTTTTACTTTTTCATTTATTTTTTTTTTTAATTTTATAAAAAAAAATATAAAAAATTTAACATGACAAACCGGCCGTTCAAATGGAGACCGGATCTGCTCCTCACACAGGGCACTTCACTCGCGCCTCACACACATCGTACCATGCATTGGAAACATCTCCCGTACTTATTCATGGGAGATGTTCCCAATGCACGATGGATGTGCATATGAGGCGCCCCGTGTGAGGAATAGATCCCGTTCCGTTCAAATGCACTCGAGATTTCCTATTCACTTTTACTATCCACTCTCTATCCGCCATGAATCGAAGCTACACATCTCTATTATCACACGTAATGTAATATATACAAGGTTTGATGTGCTCCAATTTGCTAATTGGAAGTACATCCGGTGCAGGAAATCCCGTCTGATTAATCACTTCACTTGGGAGAAAAGCATCTACCTACGACTCGAAACATGCCCAAATCTTTTTCCATGCATGAATAAAGAAGACTCGATGGTTTACATCTCAGTTCTAATGGAACAGCTGAATTTAATGATAGTAATAATATTAATAATATCTCCGACTCATCGCATGTATTCAATCCGAATTCCATCAACGGAGATATGCATTCCGGTCCCACCTCTGGGAACCAACGCCACCCAAATGCTCTCATCTCCATCTGCTTCCAGGTCTTCCAACAACTCTGAGATGCCCAACTTTAGATTGGTCTTCCTCTTAACCGTTGTCTCCCCCTTGTTCATCACCAACCTTACACCACGGCGCATGTGAACAAAGGTCCCTGCAAACTCCCTCGACTCTGGTCCAATCGTAGTCTCACCATCAACAGCGTTAACAAACACGTCGAACTTGAGGTAGACATCTTTCTTGACATCAATTCCATATACAACCAAAACCTCCTCCTCTTCTTCTTTCTCCTCTTTTGTTCTATGGGTCTTAGGTCTATGGACCTTGGCTCTTATTGTAGTGTCTAGAATCCGACCTTCTGGCTCAAAGTTGGCCGAGTTGGTGTGGCTGGACAGTAACAATCCGTTGTGGCTGTCTCTCATCTTCAACATGTAACGAGCAATCTTGGGTGGCATAGAAGGCTCTGGCCGTGCGTTAAGCCAAAGGAGAGGGACCCTCTCATAAGCGTAACCAAGCTTTGTGATGTCAAGGACATCCCGGATTTTGATTCTAACAAGTTGCAGCTTTTCATTGTGGAAGAAGAAATAGGAGTCTAGCCAGTCAGGATCATGGATCTCTCCCTTGTTGTTTCCTTGGAGACCCCTCCAGACCTCCCAAAGACGGTCGATGTTGGAGTGATGCGCATAGAAGATGGGGTCCCGTGCAGCCGAGTAGAAAGCACCCAAGTTCTCTCTTTCAGGATTTAAGTTACTACCTACCCAAGTGTGTAGGGCATTGTGGGGCGCCAGCTCTATTGTTCCTGGACCATCACAGAAGCCCTCATCCCCTGCCTTATAGGGACACCCCATGAAAAGCTCAGTCTTCTTTGCACCGGAAACCATTTGGGTATACATGAAGGCAACATTGGATGCAATCTGATCTTGGGGGGAAAACCCACTCTCGACATAATCAAAATGAATATCAGCCACTTGAGGTGGAAGATGGGACGTATCTCGGTCTTTATCTGCGAACGATCCGTTCATGTACATCACGGGGATCCTCATACCATCCGGGACGTCCCAATTCCAAAATGGCAGAGCAAAGGTGTCATCTCCGATGATACTCGCGACTATCCTTTCATGGAAGTAGAGCATCATGCGGTGCCAAGGAAAGAATAGCCATGATCTGTGGATTTTGAGGATAGTATTATTGGAATTCTGCTGGTCGTAAGCCCCGCTGCAATAGACGCAATGCACGTTGGCCTGGCGCATGAAGTTGCGAGGGTCGTCGTAGGGGAGGGATTTCATGATGGAGATGGCCTTATTGTACTTGGCGATATACTCCTCGTCGACGAGGTGGGCCGGTCGGCGAACGCGAAGCGGCAATGAAGGGTCGGGGAGTTGGAAATCAATGAAGGGCTCCTCCGATTCACGTTTTGGGGGGCAACAGTAGATTGGGACATCGGCATCTGTGAGGGACTGATGGCAAGTTGATAGATTAGGGCTCAAAAAAGCGCGGCGCACAGGTTGCTCCGTCTGAACCCCATTACCGTTGCTAGCGCTGTTGCAATGCCAACCTCTCTGTATGCCTAGAACCAGGCTCCTTAGTTTCCTGCAACACAGAATAAACAAGTCGGCAATTAAGTAATAAATTAAGGTTGAAGTAGCTTAATTTTAATACTAATTTAAATCCATATATACAAAAAAAAAAAAAACCTATAAGAGAAGCCGGCAGCTGTTTTTGCGACTTTCAGCATTGCATACCTAATAATGAAAAAATATTGAATTTCATTGGAGTCGTGGAGGAATAGGTTGGTGGACAGAGCAGCAAAGATGAAAGTGAATAGAAGCAAAGAGATCAATTTCTTTGCTTCCATGAGTAGGCCAGCAGGTAATATAGCAAAGCCTAGCAGTGACAGAAGAGAAAGCGAATTGAGCTAAGAAGCAATGTCCAATTCTGACCTCGCTCACACTAAGTAGTGTAATGGGGGCTGCCAAATTGCAACTGGCTGGCAATGGCTGAATTGCTCTTAGATGTACATATATACAACCACATGTTCACAAAATCTCTTTCCATCTATCTTTGAAACAAAACAAATTCATCAAAAAGTAAAACAGAAACTATACTTTTCAACGGCTGCTGCATATAAAAAATATTGTTAACCCACGTTATTTGCGTGGTCCTCGTGTTCCAAAAATGCAAGATGGGCTACCTGGGAACTGGAAGGCAGAACTTGCCTTGACACTCACCACTCCTCCAAGTCCAATTCCTACACTTAGAGCCAGGTTATTTTAAATAAAAAAAAAAAAACAATTCGCATTTTGTTTCAAGTTTCAACTGTTAAAATTACAAAAAAAAATGATAATTTCGAATGATGTTAATTTTCTTTATACATTACACACGATCATTAAATCTTCTTCTTCWTTTTTTTTAATCTTTGGAAAGAGGTCAAATTAAACAGGGGAGATCACGTCTACCCGCCTACCCGGTCGTTTTTTTATACTAAACAAGTTCGACCGACTGTTTTTTTGTTTTTTATTTTAAAGGCTGTGTTTGGTAGTGTGATGTGAATCTCTGATTGATAGCATTGGAAATTGGGAGAATTTTGGGTTGCGGACATGACTCAAAGTTCAATTTGTTTATTGGTGCTTATTTAATTTCATCCATTTGCCATTAGGGCGGTACAGAAGGGTGGTGTTTCCTGTAGCTTTCGTTGATAAACAGTGTCATGTCACCTTAAAATTAGCATTTATCCTATCATGTCAATTTTTTGGCATCCGAATTGATAAAAGTTGGTCTTGATTTATGTGTATGTGTATATTAATCGTTGGGGAAAGCTTCATTTTAACACTTCCCTCAACAAATACTTAATTGTAAATAAATAGTTTATTAAGATTTTTTTATCGATTTTAAAACCAAATCAAATATAAATGTTTATTTAATAAGCGGAAGCGGAAGATATACCAAATACATACAAGATATGAAGCTGAAGATGCTCCTTTGAGTAATAAACACACACAAAGGACAAAAAAACTTTAATAAGGCTAAACCAAAACCCAAGATGGTTTTGTCTAAAATAATCCAACCTAACAAAACAATGACATTAAGTATGCTTGAAAAACTTATATGGCATTCATTGGTACCAAACAGCACCTAAGAGGATGTTTGGTTCCATTGTCATTTTTCCAAATTAAAAAAAAAAAAAAAAAAACGATGCTATTCTCGCACCAAATCAACATTTCCACCTTTAATTTAACGGTTGGAATTAACTCTTGTTTGATTAGCCATGTTTTAAGAAAACGGAAAAAAGACACTAGACCTCAAAAATTGGAAAATCCATCTCCCATGAAAGGAAAATTCTATGGCGGTGTTTGGCATCAATGTGTTTTCCGAGAAAACAATGCCACATCGGTGCTATGCTAGAAAAAATGGTGCTTTAAAAAATGATCTTTTATTGGCATCGTTTTTTTCGAATAAAATGTTGCTACAAACCATGCCTTGGAAATCGAGAAAGTGTGGTTTGAAGAAACACCAAATTCAATGTTTTCTTGGAAAACAACCTATTGTTGTCAACGGTGCAATGACGTGGCATCATTTTTGGCATTGGGTAATGTAGGCCAATGCTGAAAACAGTTATATAACACTGGCCCCCCCCCACAAAAAAAAAAAAAACTATGTAGTAGCATCGATGCTAAGAAAACAGTGCAACAGACCCTCATGCATACAACACAGTTTTCTAAGAAAACATTTCTAAAGCAACGACAACGATGCCAAACACCTACTACGATACTAGAAAGATATACTTAGGGATGCAAATGGATCATATCAGATTCGAATCAGTGTATATTCGAATCCGATCCGACACTACTCATGTCGGATCCGATCGGATCCGATCTGATAGAACTCAATTTGAATTTGAATCCTACTAGTAGTCAGATCTTCAGATCCGATCCAATCCAATTTGTTTACTTTAAAAATTAATAAATTATTAAAAGAAAAATAAAATATACTAATTTAAATAAAGTAAAAAAAATAAAAGTATTTTTTTAATTATTTTCATCATATATATACATGTTTTTTATAAAAATAAATAATATAACAAATTTAAAAAATATATTTATAAATAAATAACATATATATGTATTATATATTTATATTTATAAATATATAATATACATTGGATCGGATAGGGGTGATCCAAATCTGATCCAATTTATGGTCGGATCATATTATCCAATCCAATTTGAAGATTCGAATAGGAGTGATCCAAATTTAACCAAATAAGATCTGACCTCATATCAGATCGGATCATAATCCACCTGTAAATTTTGATAAATACCATTTGATTGATTAACACATTTATGATACGAGTTGATTGGTCATAAGTTTTTTTATATGATATATATCTTTCCGGTATCATTGTCCAACCTCCCATGGAAATGCTAATTTGAATATTTCTTAATTCAAAAGACTGATGCTAGCAACGGTGTGATGAGTGGATATACCAATGTGACATCCCAAAAACATGACCCGCTGCACAGCACCAAGTGCACACAAAGCTACAGTTTTGATTTGGGTCATTTACTAAACACCCCTATAGTTTTATGAATTTACTAAAACTTATCCTATAGTTTGTGTTTTACTAAAACATCTCTTATAATTTGTAATCAATTTACTTAATAGACTTTGCATTAGATGAAAGTGGAAACACTAACATCCATTCAAATAAATCTAATAAAAAGAAACAAAAAATAAAAATGCCATTTTTGCCCTTAATACAACAGAGACAACCACTCTTTTTCTTTAATTGGTCTATTTGTTTTCTATACAAAAAAGTGTTATGGGTATTTTTGGAATAAACAAGCATGGATCCATACCTTTGAACATTTTCCACTTAATTTAAGAATACTTTTGGAATAAACAACTATGGGTCCATGCCCTTAAACATTTTTCCACTTAGTTTAGTTGATCATTCATAAGGCAAAACAAATAATTCTTAATAAAAGAGCAATTAAGTAAAAAAGTTATATATAAGGGGTGTTTTAATTAATAAAATGCAGATGATAGGGTAGCTTGGATAAGTTAAATTTATAAAATTATAAGAGGTGCTTTAGTAAATGACCATTTTTGTTTTTTTTTTATTTGAAGCAAAAAGATAATTCATGGCAGCCAAAGAGGCGCGCTCTGTGGGGACTGGGGAGCCCATCCCATCTTGACACAGATGGGGAGAGGAGAGGACTAAATTGTTAAACAAAATAATAAACAACGAGAGAGAAGAAGAGAAAAAAGAGGTGGTCCGCATAAGTCAAATCTTCGTAAGTTGCAACATACACACGAGGATACCGTGATCTGTTGGGCAAGACGACAAATAAACTCACGCAATGCACGTCCTTCCGTTCAAGAGTTGCATCCGAACACCAATTAAGTCCCAAAGTATCGGATTACGAGTGTGACGCTTATACACAAAAGGAATTATTGAACTCCAATAAGTCTAAAGTCTGTAATGGTATATCGAGCATTAATCAACAATATCAACGCTCAACGCAGAAAATACAAGTTTTATACTTTAGAAATTATTGGGCTATTTCTGATGTTGATTAACGACAAATTAAAATCTGGCTCAAAAACTCAGATGCATGGCTCAGATTCATTTACATTTGTTGTTTATGGGTGTCACTTTGATGAATGATATCACATGTTTGGTTCAATTTAGTTTATCATCCTGAATCAACAAAACTACGTACTCTAACGCTATATGAAACCACTCACTTTGATAGAAGTAATTAATTTCATGTGTCTTGTCTTTTGCCAGCTGGAGTAAAGTTGCTATGCCCTCCTCCCCTTACTAACACACTACCCCCTTCATTGAGAGAGTAAACTTGGGGGGGGGGTTAGAAAGTTACAAAAAAAATTCCATAACCGTATATAACCATTTGAGCTACCTTCCTAATTACATAAAGTAATTAAGCTCAGTTTTGAAAGAGTATATACATTATCTCAGATTCACTGGTTGTGATAATTATTGTCTCTTCAGTCAATTAACAGTCTTGACCGACCAGATTAACTTTATTTGCATTTTGAAGCTTAAATTTGTATTATCATGCTGTTGTAAAAGTTTAATATTACCACCTCACCATGCAATCAGTTTTCAGTCCAATCTAAGTTGCTATGCACTCTATTCCTCATTCGGACTCCCCAATTGCAAATGCTGCCATCAAGGGAAAATTTTTCCAAACACCACCCAACTAGACTATCTTCTCAAACTCATGACAATAATCACAAGAATCGAGAAGACAACTCTAAACCACCTACTCAACAGCGGTACAAGGGAGCTCCATGTCAGATATGTCAGTCAGAAGCCAAATCATTCAGCCCTCACCTGCCGTAGCAGATTTGATCACAGTATCAAATATGAACCCAAGAACATGGAAGTTTTCTCACTGATGACAATGCATGGTATCCCGACTCTGGAGCCACTGGCGGCCTATCTATGTCACTGCCAACTTTGGAAAATCTAAAGGCTCATACTGAATATTCAGGTCCTGATGAACTGCAGATAGATAGGTAATGGTACTGGTCTTTCTATTTTACATACTGGTTCTGTCATCTCGACCATTACTTATCTCAAATGTGTTACATGTTCGATCCATCTATTATCTGTGACCAAACTACTGCAAATGTTAAATTTCATATCTCTCTTTTCTACATTAAGGGTCGGAAGTCAAGATAATTTCTACTTCAACACGGGAATAATGAGGGCGCGCGGTCTGTATCGTCTCTCCACTTCATCACCTCCTCAAGTAATGAATTGGTAAGAAAAATGGTGTTGCAATCACCCCGTTCTATTGTGGACATAGGCCTTATTCTATTATTTGCCACCTCTCTTACCCACTACAAAACTCAGTGGCATGACACCTTGGGATAACTTGTTTGGCACAAACCAGATTATCTGCTTCTTTTGCACTTTTGGCTACGAATGTTTTCTCTTCATGCATCCCTACAAAACAAAACTTTAACCCCGTGTCAGGGGCATATACCGCTGTCTTCATCTTGCCACTGGACGGCTCTATATTTCTCATGATGTACGTCGCCTTCAATGAAGGCTTGCTTCCCTTCCAATATCAATCACCCACACTACTGGATCCTCCCATTCCTTCATCACCACCTATATATGCCCCTGCCCATAGTCGCTCCGTGTCCCTCACCGTCTCAGCCTTACCCACCTTCCCACACCTCTCCCTATTCCCTTGCACCTCCTACCCTAGAACCCCCTCAACCCGAACTTGTTTCGACCATACCTTCTAAATAGGGGTGGCTATGAGCCGAGCTCGGTTTCAATCAAGTTTCAAATCGAGCTCGAGTCCAATTTATAGGCTCGTTTATTAATCGAGTCGGCTCAAATAGCTACATAATAATAATAATAATTTAATATTTTTATTTCTATATATAATAATAACTAATTATTATAGTTCTTAATTTTTAAATATCAAATAAAAAATATTTTTTATATATAATTTTTTTCATCTTTATAAAATATTTTTCTCAAGTTGAGATTGAGCCAAGCCAAGCTCAAGCTCAAGGTTCTAGCTTGAACCAAGCTTGAGCTCGAGCTCAATCCCGAACCGAACTGGAATAGCTAGCTATTTGGCTCAGCTCAGCTCGAATCCACCCCTATTCCCAAACACTCAACCCAATCCATCCACCTAATGATTACTCGCTCCTGCAATGGTATTTGGAAACTAAAGTTGTTCTCAGTCACCAAATACCCACTGCCACCTGACATTGAACCAGAATGTTTTACCCAAGCCTCCTGGGATCCTAGATGGCGTCATGCTATGATTGAAGAATTTACTACCTTGATCAACAATGGCACATGGGCTTTAGTACCTCCTCCTCCCAATGCTAACATCATTGGATGTTGATGGGTGTATCGCATTAAGAAAAAAGGTTGATGGAAGCATCAAGTGGTTTAAAGCACGCCTCGTTGCAAAAGGCTATACTCAATGGGAAGGGCTCAATTATCGTGAGACTTCCAATCCCTCAATCAAGTCCATCATTATCAGACTTATAAGGACTCTTATTGTATCACATGGATGGTCTCTAGGCAATTTGATGTTAATAATGTCTTTCTGAATAGAAATTTACAAAAAGATGTGTACATGATGCAACCACAAGGGTTTCTTGACTATGACCATCCTAATTTTGTCTATCACTTGAAGAAAAGCCTGTACGGCCTCAAGAAAACTTCTCGGGCCTGGTATCACAAATTGAGCTCCCTTTTGCTTACCTTGGGCTTCAGTTGCTCTAAACCTAATTCCTCAATATTTATTAAGCATGACTCCACACATTTTACTTGTTTTAATGTATGTGGATGTCATAATTGTTACAGGTTCAGATTCTCAAGCCATTTCTTCTCTAATTAATTCTATGGGATCTACATTTAAGCTTGAGGATCTTAGTACCCTCTCATATTTTCTTGGAACTCAGGTTTCTTTCTCATGGCTCCTCTTCATCTCTCTCAAACAAAATACATCTATCACTGATCTTTTACACAAGAGCTCCATGCATTCGGCTAAGCCTGTCTCCCCGCGTATGTCTTCTGCTACTCAGCTCTCCAAATATGATGGTGATCCTCTACCCGGCCCCACTTTGTACAGACAATGGTTTGGTGCTCTCCAATATGTTACTATCACTGGCCATAAGATTGCCTTCTTCGTTAACAAGGTATGCTAGTTTATGCACTGCCCCACCACCACACACCATCTTAAGCTTGCAGCTGTGAAATGGATACTCCATTATTTAAAAGGTACATTGGATCATGGTATATTCATTCACCCTTCTTCCTCTCAACAAATTCACACATATTCTGATGCGGACAGGGCCGGATGTCTAGATGACTGTCGTTCTCAAGGGGGTATTATGTTTTTTCTTCAGCCTTGGTCCTCTAAAAGGCAAACTATTGTGGCCAGAGCAAGTATTGAATCAGAAATCCGTACTCTGGCTATCGATTTTCACTTTGTTTGAGAGTTGGTCTCCAATAAACAAGTTCATGTCAAGAATATTTCTACAACTGATAAACTCGCTGACATTTTAAAAAAACCATTAAGCTCTCAGCTTTTGGCATGCCTTCGAAGCGAACTAAACGTTCTAGCACCACGTTCAGTTTGAAGGGGGGTATTAGACTTATCTTAGATTCACCAGTTGTGATAATCCTTATCTCCTCGGTCAAGTAACAGTCTTGACCAATCAGATTAATCTTGACTGACGAGATTAACTTTATCTGTATTTTGAAGTTTAAATTTGTACGTATTATCATACTGTTGTAAAAGTTTAATATAAATATAAAATTACCACCTCACCATATGTAATCAGTTCTGTAAAATTATTTTCAGTTCAATCTAAGCCTTTCAAATATAAGGTTTTGCACTCTATATATTTGTATTTGTACTGCTTCCAAACTGAGCGTAAGTAACAGAAGGAATTGAATGTTCAATTACTGTTGTGCAAACAAAGATGATAAGCCATTCACACCAAAGACAAGGGCTACTTGCAACGTTGTTCTCTCCATAAATGCCCTGAGATTAGATCATCATCATCGTCATCATCACCATGTTGTGGCTGACTAACAACAGGTTTTGGGCTGAATTAAAAAAACATGAATTGCAACTAATAAGAAAAGGTGATAAGGAGACCCTTTTGGATCGTGCCACCTTAGCACCCATACAATGATCCTTAAAGGGGTATATCATATGTATTTGATCTTTCATGTTACATGTATTAATGGACTGATTTTGGGTTGGACCCTTCCAAATCAAAATCAATTTGGATAAGTTGAATGGACCAATAAAACATATTGAATTGGACCAGTCTAGACTTAATGCTTCAGAATATTTATTGGATTGGATTGGGCCTGATTCATCCATAATGAATTTATATTGAATCGGATCATATTGAATATTCCATTGATAGAAGATATTCTTACAAAGACATCCCACCGACCACCTTCACTTGGCCCTTTCAACTCAAGAGAAATGAAGTTCTTCTTCGGAACGGATTGCATTCCTTCTAGCTTGGTAGGAATAAAAAAGTCTGGACTCTGAGTCCAAATGTTTTATATAATCGGCCCATGACCAGGCTGCAAAGTTTCAGTCATGAGACAGGCCTGGGCCTCAACAGTCAACAAAAAACTTTTGTCCATTGTGCCAAGGATGATCACCTCTACTGATGGTAATGGCCTTTTCTCTCTTCTCCCTTTCTCATTAAGGAAATTTCTTTTAAATTTTCTATTTATTCTGATTCGTTTTTTGAAAACCAAGCCCCAAATCATCCCATTGGTAGTTGTCAAATGAGTATAATACCTTATCTCTGAAACACTAAAGCTCTTAATTTTGGACCTGATGAATCATGAATCACCTACCAAACCAAATCATATGTTTACAGAGCAATCATAAATCACGAAAGTTTTCTAAACAAAAGAAAATTCTGAAATTTGAAGGAAAAACAAATAATTCGGACTTTTGACAACATAAGATCTTACTTTTGATTTTTTTTTTGTTCTGCTTTGCTATGAAACTTGTTAGTCACCATTCCAGGTTTTCGTACTTATTACTTTCTTGGAGAGGAACAGAGGAAACGGTGCTCATGAATTATGATTACAGTAGGAGTGGTACTTGAACAGTGCTAATCCAAACAGAAATTGAAAGTCAGAACGCAGTTGCAAGGAATTTGAAGCCTTCATTTAAGCTACAAAAAGAAATTTATATTTACAGCCCTGCCTTGATTAATTTTACGTCTCTTTTCCATGCCAAAACTTTGTTAAAACAATTATTCTATGTCTTGGAGATGGTGCTGGTGCCGGTGCCTGTGCCGGTGCCGGAGCCGCTAATGCTCTTCTGATTCGTTCTCCCTCTAAAGAACCCATCATTCTTCTGGCTTTCAATCCACTGCTCTTCTCCCCTGCTCCAAACATAACACGACAGTTGTTTTTTTTTTTTTTTCAGGTCAAATTGGGCAAAAAACTATATGCATCGAACTGGTTATCACAGAATCATAACAAAAGACCCAAATGAAGAATCTATCATTGTCATACTTACCATTTGAGTTAAAATTGGATTTTGCGGATGCAGACAAGATGATAAGAGTTGGGGTGACGACGGTGAGCACAGCCCAGAAGAAAAATATCAAAACGAAGGCCCTTCCATTCATTTCTAATGGGGCGGGGGAACTATGGAACAGTTTTCAGAGCCCGTTCGAGGTTTTTAATGGCATTCGAGGAAGAGAGGGAGACGACCATTTGCAGATGAGCTGGCCATGCGTAGAGAGCGATGATTTAAAAAAAGCTAGAACTACTCTCTTGATTGATATAATTTTCTAATACGACAAGTCAGATTTATAACAAAAAAAATTATGCCAAGACCAAGTAGTTGGAGGGTAGTTACCCAACTGCGATTTTTGAGACGTAACAATGTATTCTTTGTCTTTTCATTCCAATTTCTCAACAACTTCTCAATTCTCTTCCAAATTCTACAAACGGGGTCGGCCGACAAATAAAAAAAGAGAAAATTCTACTTTAGTACTCTCAATTTTGAGGTAATGTCAAGTTAGTACCCAAACTTTTAAATGTGTTGTTGCAATACTTAAATTTTTAAAAAGTTTGAAGTTGATTTCTGTCATTAATCGACTGTTATCTGTTGAAAATGTGTCAAAACTACCTCAAAAGAAGACATTGTTCATTGTCTTCTACCTCGAGACTGAACCGGTTGAGGTATTTGAGATTCTAGACTAATGAAGTTATTGTCTTCTACCTTTAGATCTGAAATACATTCTTGTTAGTTATTTCTTTGTTTTTAGCTATCGTTTCCCTCTACCATATTTCATGTTTTTTCTCTTTTTTTCTTTGAAAATAACCGGTTCGGTCTCAAGGTAGAAAGCAATGAACATTCTCTTCTTTTGAAAGGCAGTTTTGATATTTTCAACAAATAATTTGAAAGTTTAGGTACTACAATGACACCTTTGAAAGTAGGGATGCAAATGGGTCAGACCGGATTCTAATCAGGGTATATATTCAAATCCGATCCAACACTGTCCATGTCATATCCGATCCGATCCAATCGGATCTAATATGACTTGATTTGAATTTGAATCCTATTAGTAAGTCGGATCTTCGGATCTGATGCGATCTGACTTGTTTTCTTTATAATTTAATAAATTATTAAAAGAAAAATAAAAAAATACTAATTTAAATAAAGTAAAAATAAAAAATACAAGTATTTTTTAATTAGTTTCATCATATATACATGTTTTATAAAAAATAAATAATATAACAAGTTTATAAAAATATAATATAAAAAATATATTTATAATATGCATTATATATATATATATATAAATATATAATATATATAGGATCGGATAGAGGATGATCTAAATTTGATCCACTTTTTGATTGGACCCTATTATCTGATCCAATCCAATTCGACAATACGACAAGAAATGATCCAAATTCAACCAAATAAAATCAGATCTCAGATCAGATTGATCATGATTCAGTCCATTGGCACCCCTATTTGAAAGTTTGGGTACTAACTTGACACTAACCCCAAAGTTTAAGGTACAAAAGTGAAATTTTTCCAAAAAAAATAAAAAAAATTGACCAGTTGGAAAGAAACCTCAATTTTGTGTCGTAAATTTTAAGTAGCCGAGGATGAGATAAAGCGAGATTAAACGCAAACGAAACAAAGGAAGCGAAGAAAGGAGGGTAGTGGTATATGGAAAATTCTCAAAAATAAGTGGTAGAACATTACAGCAGACTGAGGAGAGAGAGAGGCTGTTTTTTTTTAACCCGCATACAGTTATTGACATTTTCCAGGTTTTAGACTCCTCGTCTCCCTCAGTAAGATGAAAAAAAAATCAAATTGGCTTGTGGATAATTGAAATAAAGATGTACACTTGATTTTAATTAGTTGTTAAAGAAGGAATGTCAACCAGACGACTATGAGAATGTTGTAATGGGCTATATGTATAAGTGGGTGCTACCTTTATGATATAAAGCCTGTGAAGCCAATATTAAATTGTAATAACGGGGAGGGACAACTAAACACAGATATTAGTTCATTGGTTTAACCAGGTTGGCACTGATTCTACTACTACTGTCCGTCTGTTACAGAGATTCAAAAGTCTAATGCATTACTACAAAAACAAGATTTGCACATGGAACCCCACTATCCGCATGTTACCACAGATTGGGTGGCATAGGTTGGACCAATGAACATCCCACTCCGATCTCTATGTCAGATAATTAAGCATGTCAGCTTGGAATTATCCCTTTCCTGAAGAAAAGCAGGAATCAAGTATAGCACCTTGTTGTAGGTGGCAAATGTTTTACTACTTCCATGCATGCAGATAAAGCTTCCTCACACCCTTTCACCCTTTTGAGTCTCTCCGTTTCAGAATCCATCGGCTATCATGTTCTGCTTGGTTAACACTACTCAGGTGAAACCTCCAACTTCTCGTTCTTCATGCAGAAAGTTTGGTTCTTCTTCTCGTCTTTGTCAAATTGTAAACTGAATTTTGGAGATTTTTGGAGTAATTCTTGCAACGGAAAACTTATCTAGACACAGCAGAGCCTCTCAGTCTCACTGCCTCACTCTTCCTCCTTCAAACAGAGGTGGAATGGTCAAAAACCTTCTGGTATGGTTTCTGAATGGCAAGAAAATCACCAGCATCACTTGAAGTTTGCTAATCATCGAATTCACAAGGATTTTGATACAGAGTGGCCCTTACTTGTCTCTAATGCTTCTAGAAATAACAGCCCTGTTAAGTGATACCAAATTTGTCTTTCCAAGCACGATTATGATTTCTCTTCGCCTGTTGGAGGCTTAGAGCTTCAAATACCAGTCCAATGATCTCCGTATAAGTCGCACAGAGGTGATGGTAATGTTCCACTATCATAGTTTTGGATAGAATAAGTATCAGTCCTCCAAAATCCCAACATCAGAGACATTTTTCTCCATATGAAACCAATGAGAATCGAAATATGGATGAGAATTAGGAGTTTATGGTAGGCTCAAATAAAAAGGGAAAATAAAATAGGACAGGAAATGAATGAGCAATCTTATCTGGCTCCTACAGAGCGAGTGGGAATGCTGAGCCCTCACTATTCTCCACAAATGTAATCAACAAACAGAGTAAGAAATGATACGATACTAAATAGGACAGGAATGTTCCAAATGACAGAAAAGGATCAACGAATGTAGCCGACCCATTTAGTTGGGACAAGGCTTAGTAGAAGATTATGATGTTTAAACTCTCCCATAGTGTCATTGAAGACTTACTCTGCTCAAAAGGGTGTACTAGTTGGGACAAGGCTTAGTAGCGTTTGAGCTGCAGAAATTTTACAGCAGCGTGTACTAGTTCTTTACGATTCTAAATGTCCAAAAGATCAAAATAAAAACAGACTTCCATTCTGAGACGTGACGAGAACATCTTTGCACATAGTCAGTAGCAGGACAAGAAAATGAAGCACCAACTCAAATTTCATCAGAAGAAATTTATCAACAGGCTAAAAGTCAAGCCCAAAATGGTCCGTGTCGAATGACGCTAGAAAGGTGTCTGAACGTGTTTTATTTGCAAGGGCTCGATCTGCTGTCCACGAGTTTCCACATCCCTGTTCTGTTGAGCGGGTAGAGATATAAAAACAACACAACCGAACAATTTGTATATGTTTGATATATACTTCCCCATTGATTTGTTTATGGAACAATGAATAAACATTCAACCGTTAAAAAGGAAACATTTCCTCCGATGGTTATGCACACAAATCAAAATCCATATCAATGCATAAAAGTGAATATGATAAAAAAAAAATGTTGATTTGATATTGACATTGCGGCATTTGGATAAACTCCTATTACAACACACAATCTTAGTGGATAGCAGATCAGAAGTGGCATTGGGAATATCTCCAAATGCACGGTTAAGATGTGCAGTGGGGAGCCAATGCGATCACGGAACAACCTTCCCAGCTCTGAAAGTCACAGCACGTATGAGACGAATAATGAAGATATTTTTTTAGAAGGCATAATGAAGATATAGTGGTCCTTTGAAATTCAACTTACATTTTACAAAATTAAACTATGTCAGAAGTGAAAAGGTGTCGTGTGAACTTAACCATGCCAATGTAATTACATTGCGTAAAACATTAAAGAATCTTCTTCTTATATGTATGCACTAGTTTCACTCCCATTGCCTGCTGGACAAAAGAAAACCCAAGAGACAACATAAGTGAACTTCAGCCCCCAAGCACAAATAATGACGTGAAATACATGTTCATCACAAAACATCTAAAACATAAAACTTGATCAGGACAATATTTCTTTTTTTTTTCTGTTCGCTCCAACTGTGAATTCCCCATACGTCAGTCCCTCGGCATGGCGCTGCCACTTGGAGAAGGCTTCTTCCCAGTGTACTTCTGTAAAAAGGAAAATACAAAAAAATGAAACAACAATAAGTTGAAAAATACAGGAAAAGGATGATGACGGCAGTTTGGTGTTCTTGAGCTCACCTGTTTCCCAATGGTGAATGGAACATACTTGTACTTGATCATGTGTAGGATTTGACGCTTCATTGTGAGTACAAACAGAACAATCCAATAGCACAGTAATATGGGCCAGAATACAGGAACGTCAAACATGGAGAAGAAAGTCATACCCAAGGCTATGCAAAAAGCCTTTGTTATGGAATACCTGCAGTAATGGGGCAGAAAGGATATTATTAACCAACAGTCTTTTTGGATAAATGTAACCAACAGTCGATATTTACCCCAAACATCAATAAACCCTTGTTTCTGCTGATTCAAGAAATAAATAAGAGGGTATGAAACAGCAAGATACACTCCAAGGACACCAGACTAAATATAGCACAAGCATTGTGAAAACAAATGAAGACCAGGATGTGAATAGTAATATGGTATTAATAAAAAAAAAACCAATCAAATAATAAATCATCTAATTGTGGTCATTGGAAGGAGAAATACAACATCTATAAATGCATTTTTAGATAAGCAAATTTGTCAAACATTAATAACCAACCAATAAACGCAACCAACACTGATTGTAAAGAATCAGTTGAAGACACATCTACATCTCTGAAGTTGCAAATCATATATGCCACAGGAACTGGTCAACACTACTTGTCAAAAAAGGAACTGATTTACACGCTATAAAAATATGGAAGATCCAACTGTTTTAAACCTTTCAATTGTCATGGTTTGATTTATGATTGGATTCTTGTTTATGTTGAATTGTTGATGAAATATTTGCTTACATTGCTGCAATTTCCAAGTTAGTTAACTACTATGCTATGTCTCTCCTCTGTAAATTTTCCATTCTTCACATCCATGTCTCCTTAAAATTATATTTGACTAGTTTTGATACTTGGAGCTCAAGGGACACAAGGAGGTAAATCCAAGATTGGTACCAGCTGTTCACTATGGTAGAAACACACAGCTCGGACTGTTGAACGGACAGCTTGGATCACTGCAATCCCTGCCTATTTGGCAACCCTTCTAGCTAGACACATTAATTTTTGCACTGCAACATAATACTCTTCTTTTATTTATTTAAAAACATAAACATTAAAAGGGGGCTCTGAATACAGTTCTGTTTTATGATCTCTGGTTAGTAATTTGTTTTTCTTTTTTTATTTCGGACGATAAGCTGGATTTTATCTCAAGTGGCTTCAAACTATACACCAGATACAACCTTATCTAACTCATCTTTAAGTACTAATTTTGCACAACAAAACTATATCAAATGGCACCAAAGTGATCAAGTTGCTAGTTTCTACTACCAAAGATAACCAGAGCTAAAAGATCGTATGAGAAGTTCCTAGTAATGGCATTTCTTCTATGGATTTCATGCCTTGTGTGGGTGAACTTAAGATGTCATTTCAGTGTGCTTTCTGTCAAACAATCTTTTTTAATGTTCAGTTAACATGGTGTCACTTTGAGAAAATCATCTGATGATTAGTTATAAATAAAGTCAAACATAACCAACGTAACCTCCTAGAGTACAACCACTTAACTTTTTAGAGTACAAAGCATCATTCACACACTAAGAAAATGTGGAATGGGATAGAGTATACAACACACTAGTGCAGTTTAAATTGAACTACATGCCTAAAACTTCATTGTGCAAATGTCACATCATCAAAGTTGAGAATCAAGCACCATTTACCAACAAACAAAGTTTACATCAATGATAAGAAGATGCACACAGCAATAGTCAAATAAAACCACAAGTCCATTAAACAGGACGGATAAAGAATAGACTATATGCAAATCAATTAAAATTGTTCCAATGACAAAAATATTTTTTAATGGTATGACAAAGTTCGTTTGAAAGACTTAATGGGAAAGCGTGATATAGAAGCATAAACCATACGAACACTTGATTACCAGAACTTAAACTCAGGGAGGCGGCGAATGAAAGGCTTGAATTCATCAGAGCCCTTTGTTGGAAGTGAAGCCCCATCCAAACCTTCCAGTTCTGGGTCAACCTTTGGCGACAGAAACCCAATCAGGAGATTCAGAACATAGATCCCCAGACCGTAGGAGACAATGTAAAATCCTTCAACATAATAAACACGCAAAACATAAATGGCAGCGACAACTAGAGTTCCCAGCCACCTCTGGACTGGATGTGGAGTGGATCTATCCAGATAGTACTGAAATGCCTTCGAGAAATCATTTCTCCATTTGCCGAGAGGTGCCACGGCCGAGGCGGCATCGCCCCCAACTCCCTCCATGAAGTTCAAATTTTAGATGTCCTGCAGACCTAATAAAAGGAAAACCTGATTAATTCAAGCAGGGTCCGATACAAAGCAAGGCATATAGGAAAACTATGGTTAGCAACAATATATTCATTACTAATAATGAGAATGTTATGATTACATTTAAGTTAAGGTTCTAAAACTGATAAAAAAAAAAAAGCTAAGGTTCTAAAATCACGCAACAAATCGAAGAAATTATAACTGTTCTTGGTCCAAAACTCCCAAATCTTGAATAGCATATCACGAGTGGAGAAAACTTCAGTAGACAAACCTAATATTCCGAGAACATGCAGCACAAAGACTACAAAGCTGATGAGTTAATACAACTAGCCCCCCTCCAAAAGAAATTAGATCAGCACAAAACCAGATCTACGTCGAAAGAACCACCAAAATAAACCCTGGTTTCCAAAGGAGGATGTTAGATTGGAAAAAAAAAAGAAAACAATTAGGGTTTTTTTCCAAGCAAAAGATTCTGAAGTGCGGAGAAAGAAAAGATAGAATAGATCAGGAAATAGGAACCCTTGTAGGGGAGTTAAAATGGGTAACAGGAGTAGTAACAGATCTGTAATAACAGTAATAAAAGAACACGAGCAAAGACAAGATAAACAAGTACCAGTTCTCACCTCCGACTCCGAGAAACGTCGGCGTTACCGTTTCAGCAAATCGAAGGAAAGGAGAAATACTGGAATTTCTCTGAACCGAAGCGATTCATTTTATCCCTCTCTCTCTCTCTCTCTCTCTTGGCTTTAGATCACTTTCAGGCACAGATGCATGTGTTTCTGAAATCGTTGAGACCGGAAGGGAGAAAGGAACACAACTGTATCTTGCTAAACACAAAAACAGCAAGAAATTTTTTTTTTACTTGGCTGACTCTTAAATGACAAATATAGCCTTATGCTATCTTAATTAAGTAACAACAAATCAGTTGAATTGAAAGTTCCACAAGGGCAATGAAGCCATTATGGTTTATAATACAAAACGTTGTACAGCATTGGCTTATATCAACTCCTTCGGCATCGCTTGATTGGCACCTTCATTTCTTTCAATTCTTTTTCTTTGCTATTTTATTTATTGCACGCCGTTCGTATGCCCTTTTCCTTGCAAGAAATGTTGACCCATTGGCATTTAAAGGCGATCATTTCTAGCCCGGCCCGTGTAGCCTACAAATTTTCGAAACTGGCCACCTGAGCCTCGACTCAAAATTTCTGGGCTCTGTCCCTCCGATCTTGTTGGAGAAAGCTAGATCTCGCATCAATATATCAGAGATCGCTATTTGGAATCCAATAGTACGGAGGAAATGCCTAGAGATCGCTATTTGGAATCTAATAGTGATTTTACGGTATGTTTGGTTTATGGGAAAATAGGATTTTTTAAAGAATATTCTTGTTTTCCGACATTTATTTTGAGCAAACAGGGTTCTCATTTTTTAGGATGTGAGGTCTCACCAAATAGGTGTGACTCCATTGCAAAAAGAAAGAAGTGCAAAAATTTTATTGAATGGGAGACAACCATCTTCTTCTCAGCCGCTGTCCAACCATCTTTTCACCAGTGCCATTTCCGGCAATCTTTCTCGGAGGTAAGCTCATATTTGGGTTCCTCTCATGGTTTTCATTCATTTCTGTATCATTTTTACCTATTTTCATGAATGAGCTCCCCACGAGATTTTCGTTTGTCTTCTTCTCAACCGTCGTTCAATCATCTTCTCACCGGCACCATCTCCAACGATCTTCTCACTGACACCATCTCCGTCCAAATCTACCATCTGGTATCTACTCATTTATAAATCTGTGTTTTTTCTAGGTCTGTTGTAGATTTGTTCTCAAATACATTCATCATCTTCTCAATCTGTATTTTGTTTTAGAGTTGTCACTAGATCTGGTAATGCTCGAACTCATATCTGTATTTTTTTTTCATTTTTTGTTGTGATTCAAGTTATCTCTGGCAACTCAAGGGGTTTTCAAGCTAAAAGGTATTACATCTTAGTCAACCCACGCAAGGGGTCTTCATTTTTTATAGTGGAATAGTATATATTGATTTAGATATTGAATAGTTGTTGTAAATGATGATGAATAGTAGTAGCATATGCTAGTTTGAGTGTTATTTTCTCAATAATACTTTGTATTTAGCGGCAATTTCTTGAACCAAACTTTACATAATCAAACTTTACATAATCAAGCTTTACATAGTAGTATATGTTGATGATGAATAGCAGTAGTATATGATCTATTTCTTAAATCAATTATTAATTGTGCGATATTATCATGTCGCCCCAAAACAAGTCTTGTGATGTGAAATTAGAGAATGTATGAATTGTCAAACTGTGATGGATCTAACAATCCTATAAAATTTTCTCAGCAATCAAACACTAAGAAGCAGATTTAACAGGATATCTAGTCTCAGCAACCAAAAACAGGTGATAAGATTGAGAAAAAAAATTATTTCTCGTCACATCCTTTCTCATCCCATTCCATCCTTTCTCACCAACCAAACGGACCATTAATTCCCTCCATTGTTCTATTTATTCCTTTGAAGCAAGAACTTAGCAGATCGGTTGCCACGTGCAAGATCCGATGGTCGCCTATGCCTGAATGTCTGTGTGAGCGATTCGAAGTCCAGCCTGTCTCTGTCTGTCATCTCTCTCGTTCTTCTCCCTCCTCGCCCCACCTCACCTCCATCTCGAACCAGACTCCCTACTCGCCCTCTCTCTCTTTCTCTCTCTCTCTCCTCACCCCATCTCACCTCCATCTCAAGCCAGACTCCCTGCTCGCCCCCTCTCCCTTTCACTCAAATATCTCTGGAATAGTTTTAGAACTTATGGTTTTTTACTTTACCAAAGCGGCGAAGGTTGGTTCTCCTGCCTCTGAATGACTGGAGCGGCTAAACTTGCCTTTACACTCTCTTCTTTTCAAACTTCAACCTTCTCTGTTGGTGTGCTGACGACGGTGTAGGGTATTGCAGCTAGGCGGTCGAAAGCTGGTGGCTATGCAAGCCAAAATCTAAGCATCTTCATTTCTAATCAGCCGCTCTGATTCTCTCTCTCTCGTCTGAAGCATAAACTCAGAGAAACCCTGGCACTCTCTCCGCTCTTCTCCTCCCTGCTTGTGAGAATTTGATTGTAGCGTATAGGTATAGTCCATTAGCGCCTTTTCTAGCAGATAAGGGCAACTTTTTTTATCTTGAATATCAATAAAATATAATATTTTTATAAAATAACAAAAATAAGATAACATTTTTTGAAAAATATCAAGAAAGGTAGTTCATCGTCTTCCTCTGCGTCAGTATTCATCCTCCTTACCTCTACGATCTCTACGAGTATGGAGATGCCGCCTTCATTGGCCAAAGCAGTTTTCGCATCTGGTACAGAAACAGGAAAACCATTTTTTGATTAAAGAGCCGTGTTCGTGTTCGGTGAAAGAAAACCATGGCCGAATTACAATTAGAGGCAGGCAGATCTAGCGAGGTTTTGACTTCGCTTTTCGCTTGTCTCCGCCTCTGACTTTCGGTTTTCGTGTTCGTGGCACAGTGGAGACAACCGTGTTTGTGTTTCGGTTTTCTTCATCGGTACAGAAGCACAAGCCACCAGGTGAATTCCCGACCACCTGCATTATCAGGATCAAGAATGAACAATCTTTCGACCACTTTCTCAGCAAGCTCTATGTTGTTATGGATTCTACAAGCACTTAAGAGTGCTCCATAAACATCCTTTCCAGCCTCCACAGGCATTTCATTGATAAATTTCAAGCCTCATTAAGACGCCTAGCTCGCCCCAGGAGATCAACCATACAAGCGTAAGCCACCAGGAGGCGACGGCTATGCGCGGAGGTGGTCGGGAATTCACCTGATCAATCGTTGTTGCAGTTACTGAAACCTGAAGATGAATCACCAGAGCTGCAGAGGGAATTCTGGCCTCCATCACCAGAGCTCAGCTACTTCATCAAATGTTCGGCCGGCTACAGAGAATCCGAGAATCGGAATTCCTTCAACTTAAAATGAAATTGAAGATTCTTTAGAGCGACCTATTCAAGCAAAGACGCTTCTGTCACCCAGTAGTTGGAAAGGGAGATAATTGAGTGTCAGAGATTAAAGAAAAAGGGCAGAGAGGAAGACGATCAACAGTATTATTATCCTTCCTTGATATTTTTTAAAAAAAATTACCTTATTTTAGTTATTTTATAAAATATTGTCTTTTATTGATATTCAAAGCAAAAAATTTGCCCTTATCTGCAACTGCAAGAAACCCTAAAAAATTAAAGAATGAAAAGAAAAAATTACACCTTCCTTCGTCATTTGATTAATGTTAACCATTCTGCAACGTGTTGGGTTGTTTTTAATTGATTTTGTCACATGGTAATTATTTTAATTTGTTGGCTACAAAAGAACGTTTGCTTTTATCATATTTGTCATAGACCTCATTGCTTATTGGACTCAAGATACCCAATCCAACTAAAGAGCAGATTAGAAATTGGATCCAAAAGACTCTATAAGCCTAGAAAGTTTCGGAAAAGCTAAAATCCTGTCCAGGGTTCTATTGCCAATGTTGGTGCAAGTCCTTCCATCGCAATTTCTTTTTACATCAATCCCTTTTTTTTTTTTCTTTTGAAGTTCCTCAAAAATAAAAAGTCTGTTAATATGGATGAAGAAGTTCCTAAGATCCTCTTATGTAGCATAGAGTATAACTACCCACAAATTTTAGATAATAAAAGATTACGAAATTTAGATTATAAGTTATTTTTCATTTGTTTGGTTCATTTTTATGGAATTTTTCAAAGCAAAATTCAGATTATGAAGGATTATCCTGTACATTTCAGATTATAAAGCCTGCATATTTTACTTTGGATTATTCTGGCAAGGATGGTTACGAGTCACCTAACCGGTGAAAACTGGTCTATTATTAGGCTCGCTATACCTGAAAAATGTCTCCATTGTGATGTTGAAATCTCCAAACCCCTCAAAACTCTAGATAATTACCCAATACAAGTTTGTAGTCTCCTACTCTCAGGAAAATTTTCTCAAACCACAGGATTCACTAACCTTGTGGTGAAGGATATTGCAATAAAAATCTCCTCTTTTTGATGATGTTGTCTATAGGGATCTAGAAGTCAGCTCTGGTAACCAAATCAAAGATAAAATAATTATGCAAGTTCCTATTGATGCATGAAGGTGGCGTTCCTAGGATAATTTGCTGACAAAGAAATGGGCTTATGGGCTTAGGCTCTGAGTCTTGAATAGATCAAGTATATGTATGTTATTGCTATGGTGATTTTTTCCCTTTTTTTGAAAAGGAATACATTCATTAATTAAAAGAAAAAGAGGTGAAAAGAAATACTTAAAATCGAAGAAAAAGTTCAGGTAGGTTGTGATAATTGTGACAAATTAGTAAAAATCAAGGTATTTTTACATAAACTGGTCAAACATACCAACATGGGATCTCTTGTTTATACACATCCCTTTCCAAATAAGGTTCCATGTTTAGTGACGATCCCTAAACATTGACCGGATGGATATGGTGAGGGTGTAAGAACATAGACTTACAAAGCCATATACCTGGTTGATCGGATTATGTTCATCCATCCATGAATTCAATGCTTCATGGTTATTACTTGATCTAAATGGAAAATAGCATGTGGAAATCCGAATTCAGTCCTCACAAAATTTATCTTCACCATTCTCATAACACTTACAGTCATGCACTTGTTGGAACAACACACCAAAGTTTAGTTAACCAATATGAGCACACCAGAGTTTAGTTAACCCATATGAAGATGAATAAGAAGAGTTCATTGTTAAATCAAATCCTTTAGGCCATTGCATAATTCAATTGATGGTAGAACCAAATGAC